GAGTGGGATAGATGAAAACCTCGAGCTTCGTGTCCGGCCACGTGCATATCCAGGGCTTGTCGCCGTTCTTGGCTCCGACACTTGCGCCCCTGCTCTGCATCACGTCGTGGTTGACGAGTGGCCGGCCCAGGTTGTCCCAGCGCTTGGCTTTTATAGAGAATTCTTCCTCTTGAACGACGACGGTCTTGTCATATGTCACCTGGAGCCACCACGCCGGGCCACGGCGAGGTTCCATGGTGTCATTGACAAGTTGCATGGCCGCGCCATAGATGTGTGGAGGCTGTGTTCCCCAGAGAAACTGCGAATCCAGGGGGTTGATGGCCTTGAGAGTGAGGTTGTAGCATGACGTGTCTTCTGCGTCGGCAGATACATCGACATTCATTTGGTAATAGCTATAAGGCAAGTTGCAGCTCCAAGCGGAAAGCTGACTGTGGTCGGCGAGACAAGTGTTGGGCGCTGCGCTGGGGAAAACGGGCGGCAGCGCATAGTTGCCAGGCGGCAGACGAGGCAGGCCGATTGGGACGCTGCGTAAAGGAATAACATCAGGCGCCGGCGTTGGAGTCGGGTAAGTGTCATCGGATGGGCCGCCACTGGACAAGTTAATGATACTGAGACAGTGAAAGAAGGGGGGTGAACCGGAAGAAAAGACATACCTAGGTCGCGATTTGTGATGTGAGAGAACGGTTCCAATAACGGCGCCCAATATGACGCCCATGAGAACAACGCCGATCAAAAGCAGGCAAATGGCCCAGTACGGCACAATGCCCCAAAGCTTCTTCTTTCCCCTGCGTTGCCACTTGTTCATCGTGGCCTTTTCTGCGGAGCTCTGGGCGGCCGTGTTGATGTCGTGCCGGCTGTGAGTGGATGGTCTGGATTGTGAGGGCTGAAGGTCCTCTTCGGTAGAGGAAAACTCGGGGTTCCGCGCTGCCCTCCCGGCCCCGGCGACGGTCCCAGCCGGAGTCGAAGTCCCAGTTCCAGTCATGGTTTCTTCCGGTATCGCAACCGCGGGCGTCTTGGAGGCAAAAGCTTGATCGGGATATCTCGTGTAGGGGGGTAGCTCTTCGGTATGCCCCAGCGGCCCGACCAAAGCGCCTGCTTCTTCTCCATCCGGCCCAATTTGTCTTTGGTATCCATCGCCAGCTGCCGCGAAGCCGAGGGGGATCTGGTGAGGAGTCTCATCGCCCGTAGTGGCAATGTTTTGCGGGTAAAGAGCATATGGGTGCGCGGGGCCGCGATGTCCATCGTATGAACGACGGTTCGCAGGTTGGTCAGTCGATGCCGTGGCATTGCTCAGTGTCCTTTGCAGATACATCTGGTACGGATGCGAAGCGCTGGTGGGACCTCGATAAGGGCTCTGAGGCCGCAACTGAGGCATCCCTGCGGACGATGCTAATGACGGACCGGTCTGGGCAGAGTTCGAGCCATCGTTGTGAAGCGTAAGAGAATCGTGAGGTCGCGGAGGTTTGTATGCGCTCGATGGGCGGGCAGGGGCGGATGGTGGGGGTTTGGAGGTGGCAGAACTCGACTGTTGCTGGTTGGACGGGTTGAGAGACAGCAACCGAGCCTGCGAGGAATCGGGCGAGGCGACCTCGGGGTTGTTTGGGGTCGACGATGAGGAGGAAGTGTCGGTTGGCGTTAGATCTGTTGGTCGGAAGCCGTCCGACACGGTGGCCACAGCCAGTTCGTATGAATCATGGCCCTCGCTATCCTCTGACTGCCTCCGCGACCGTTCCCGGAGCGACTTGCCGGAAATCTCTGCGGACTTCCTGTTGAAGGGATCCATGGCGACAGCGGCGAGATTGGCGTCTGGCGATGGGCGCTGGAGCGACTGCCAGAGCAGGAGGAGGCCAGGAGGAGCTCAAGATGAAGCGGCCCTGAGAGGCCGCAGACGGCACCTGTCGGCGTCCTCCCCGGAATCGACCGCGTGGGAATTTAACTCGGCGGGCCGGGGATCGAAGAGATGGAAGACCAAGACACGACGAGACGGCGACCGGAATGCAAAGGCGAGGGCAGACTGTTGGTGTTGGTGTTAGTGTCGGGGGGCGTGTCGAGCGAGGATGCGGCGTCGAGACTTTTGCGAGCGGCATCAACGACGGCTGACGAGGGCGACGGCGGCAATACACGGCGAATGCTCAATTGGCATCAAGCCAGATGTGCGAGTGGAAAGCAGGGAAGCCGGATCGCGAGACGGATTCCAAATGGCTGACTGAGGTCAGTTCAGGTCAGGCCAGTGGAGGCCGGGGCCAGCAGAAGCAGAAGCAGAAGCACAGCAGAGGCACAGCAGAAGCGCAGCACAGAAGCACAGAAGCAGAGCGGGCTGGAATCAAGTCCCGGATGCACTGCGCCCACTGAGCTGTAGCGCTCATGCAGCGCTAGCAGCAGAATCCGGGCGCCAAAAAAAAAAAAAAAAACTTGCACGATGAACCAGACGGCAATTCGGTGACACCTTAGGTTTCGGATCTAGCACGGACTGGGCTAGCCTGGACTAGCGGGGCCGGAAAAAGAGGAACTTGCGGCGTGTCATTGGTCGGCCGTGTTTTAGTGGTCAGCGGCGGATCAAGGCCGGGATACGGAGCGTTAGCGTGATTGGCCCCTGAAGCTGAAGCCGAGAAGATTGAAAGAAGAAGCACGAGCGCTGGGTTTGCTTCAACCTAATGTTTAATTTCTTTGTCATGATGGGATGCTGGAAACTGGTCCATTGATGCAAACAGATTTCAAACATCCCGCGGCGGATGGTTACAGATACAAAATGATCACGTAAAGGAGACATAAAACACGAGGCTTTCAAACTTTGATTCTCCCACAAAAAGCACACCAGAATCTACGGAGTACATGTACGTACCTTATACGAAGGAGTCCGTCAAACTCTGTGCCATGCCAGGGGAGCCTATCGGCAACGCCTCTCTCGGGTGCTCATGTTCGGACTTAACAAGGAAAAGAAAGGAAAAAGCTGGAGGCGAAACGGCATGGGACTGGAGACTGCAGACTGCCGTGAGCCGGCCCAGGCCATTGGACATGCTCAGTCATCCATCAGAGCGGCGATCATCATCTGCCCTTCTTTTGATAACATCCCCAAGGGGCGAAGCGGCAGAGCATAGACATACACAGGTACTAGTAGACACGGGCAAAGATAGTACTCGTATGTACGGACCTTGCCCTGACAGGCAGGCATGGTCTTGTGACCGCAAATCCATCCATCTCACCACAAGCCTCTTCTTATCTTCCTTCAAATGGGTAGGTATTACAGGCACCTTGCGGGATACACAGCCAGTGCAGCCAACTCCACACCTCCCGAGGAAGGACTCCGATGATGGGCTAAGGGCTGTCAGCTAACCTTATTGCGAACAGCGCTGACAAAGGGCCGGTGGGAGCACTGGAGGTCTTTTCTCCCCTGTTATTTTCTTTGTCTTTCATCTTGCCGAGAGCAAATTGGTAGTTGGTGTTACCTTGCTGGGAGTGAGCTTGAGGTTGGACGGAGCGGGAGTCTCGGTATAAGCCGGAACAGGTGCGGCCACGGTCACATAAATACACGCGAGGGATGGGGTCAGTTACGCAAAACAAGGCTGCCATTAAGCTACTAATTGGCTAGGGAGCGGCTATCAAGCATACCACGTCCCAAGTTAACAAGGTGAACGGCATTTACAAGAGCGTGTCTCCATGTAGTGTTGGAGGAAGATGTAGGTACCTACTAACCTACTAAGAGCGATATAGGAGAAAGACCTAATACCTAGCGAGAGCATCACAAGCTGAGAGACCCAAGTCCATCAACTTCGTATTTACGAGCAAGATGGTGATTGATGCGCTGCGGGTGATTTATCAGCTCCATCTACCTGCCTATCTATGGAATACGCCATGTCCATCAAATGCAACATCAGGTACTTACGCCTGACATTGACGAACAGAGGACAAAACTCGGCATCTGATCGACTTCTCTCTCGTGTCCAAGTGTAACCCTGATATCGCATGTTGGTTTGCAAGATGCACGCTTATCTAGGCACCTCCATACTCTCGCTCTTCCACACATCTCTCTCCCTTGCGTTAGATGCTTATAAGTTGGGCAATAAGTTGCATATTTTATCGGCGTGGTTATATGTATGTAACCCGGAGATGGCAGTTAGGCAGGACAAGGCCAGGCCTCGGCTTTGAGCATCTCCATCGTGTTAGAGTGCGCATGTACCATCTTCCTCTTTACAGTAGATTCCTAGACAGTGTTGAAGATGTCGCATTATGTAGGGACATCTGTTATAGAGAGGCTGTTGACGATGATACATGTACACAGAGAGGGAGCTCTGCTTCACCAATTGGGAAAAGGACCTCTCATTTTTGGGAGTGAGATTCAATGCTCCGACTGCATCTTCTTCTTCTTCTTCTTCTTCTTCTTCTTATTTCGAATTCTGGGCTGGTTATATATCTTTTATTCGAAAATCCCCATTTATGAATGCAGAAAGAAAGCCTTTTTGATCGTATGACAAGGCTGATGTTGGGTGCCATGGATGCCCTGCGGGAGGCCTTCACCAGCTTTCCCCCTCTCCCCTGTGCACGAAGCAATCACTTGCAAATCCCTTCCCAACGATTACTTAGGCACAAATGCAGCAAACAACAATTCATTTTCTTCTGGTTGGCCGATGAGCTACACTCCATGTGCTGAGCAGATGCGGGAGGCCGTCGCAGATTGTATGCGGCATCAAGTCACTGGCCTTGTAGGCCTCCCCTAGCTGCGCATATGTACATTAAGGTAGGCAACAGGCTGCCAACTGCCGCACTTCTTCCTCCTCCAGATATCCTCCAACTTGGCCTTTTTTCTCTCCTCTTCCATCTTCTTCTCCCTTTCCACCATTTCGTTTTCCCGCCCTCGGTCACTTACTCTTCAGTGTTTTCTCCTCCCAGCCTCGACTTGTCTGTACATGCACCTTCTCCCCTCCTGCAACTCCAAGATAACCGAAGCATCACCACTCTTGATTCGCCAGCCGTGAGGCTCTTAATCCTCCCAAAGCAAAAAAATGCGAGGGGGTCGGTTAGTGCTTGCTGACGACGCGAATATGTTGTTTCTTGTGCTGATGTCCTCTGACCCTCCAGGTTTCACTATCCCACCCCTCCCAGCACCCCAACTGAAGGCTCCCTCAAACCATGCTTTCACTTCTTGCGAAACAATAGCTGCAAGTTTGGGGCTCGGTGCAAATTCTCCCATGAGGTGAGTGAGGGCGCACAGGCGGGCCAGCCAGCAGATTGGAGGCGCCCAAGTACCGCCTCGCGTCCCTCTACCAGCAGGAGTTATCGCCCACCAGAGGGGAAACTGTTGAAATGGAAGGGCTTGCTCCGGTCTGGTGAGGGAACTGCCCGACCATCACACACTATAGTCGGCCAGTTCTTTAGCCTGGCTGTCGAACTCATGGATGGCGATGTCGGCGGCGCTCAGGAGACAATCAGGCTCGTCGTCACCGAGGCTGGCCTGTCCTTTATCAAGGATGTCATCGACCGGCATATTCCCATAGACAACATCTCTACCGCGGGCGTTCGCCTCTGGGAGACGGAGATTAAGCCACTCTTTCAGCTTGTGACTCATCCTCGCGTTGTTGATTCTGCTGTCCTGGAGCAAGAAGTGGCATCCATATTCAACTACCTCGTTGGAGTGGGAGGAGTGAGAATGAACAAGCTCTTCAACTATGTCAGCGCATTATTTCAAAAATGGCCATCCTCCACCACGCGGGAGTCTCTCATGGAGGCAGTCGAGTTGTCTCTCTCGGTGTTGGCCAAGATGTTGGACTGCAACACCACCAATATCATCAACGAAGCTTTCTCAACATACGCCAGCAGCTTGGCTAGTCTCTTGGATAAACCAGCAGAACCAGAAGAGATGCTTCCTCGTCTTCAAGCCAAAAGGTACCTTGATTACATTGGTCAGCGTGTTCAAGTTGGGAGTCAGCTGGCAAGCCTAGAGCCGCGAGTTCAAGCTACCCTGACCCAAGAAACTTTCATTCTGACAAGAGATCTTCCTGGCCGCCTATCCCCTGGAGGACCTAGGCACAACAACGACCATGCAAGCATAGTCAACATCAAAATTTTGCCCACCTACGAAGAGATCATGTCACCAAGAGAGGAATATCTACCGGTAAACGACTCCTCTCAGTGGCACATCCCAGGTATCCGTGGGCGTTTGGACAGGGAATTTCGCCTAATACGAGAAGATACTGTCGGGCAGCTCCGAGATGCGATTCGTGAGGCCTTTGGACGCATACGTGGTACCACCGGCGGTCTCGGTTACCAGACCAACTCCAATAACTTGCGTACATACACATACGACTCTGCCACTCTCGTCGACATGCAATTCGACGCAAACGCCGGTCTAGACTTGGTTGTTCAATGTGATCAGCCTTCTTCCGTTCTGACATTAAGCCCAGGGCAGAGAAGGGATTGGTGGGAGAGATCGAAACGCCTCCAGGCCGGTGCACTAGTGTGTATCATGGACAAAACCGACTCCGTCATGTTCTGCACCGTGTCTGAGTCCACCATGAGGAACAAAGATGACAAAAAGCACCGCTTCGGGAAGAAATCATCAGAAGATGATGAGCCCCCGGAAAAGGCTGAACCATTGACTCTGTCGGATCATGACTTGTACTTGCACGTCAACTTGCAGCTTGTAGAGGCAACTCAAGACGATGTCACGCGCGTTCTTCATTGGTCCAAGAGCACGGGGCCATCGCGCCATCGATATCTTGTCGAGTTTCCCGGCATCCTTCTGGCGTCGTTCAAGCATACGCTTGATGCCCTTAAGCAAATGTGTCAGCAACCAAAGATGCCTTTCGTTGACCTCTTGGCGCCAGACAACGTTACTGTTACAGAGGCTAATCTGCAGCCACCTTTATACGCGAGGAAGGCCGGCTTCACATTCGACATCAGATGTATTACGCATGACAAGTCTGAGTTTCTCGTTTCTCCTCAGCAGCGCCCAAGCCCAAAACTCGTTGAATCTCAAACGGCTCTAGACCTTACGCAGTCCACTGCCCTCCTTAATACCCTATCACGAGAACTGTCACTCATTCAAGGCCCTCCTGGTACAGGCAAGAGCTATAGCGGAGAAAAGATTATCAAGGTCTTGCTAGCAAACAAGGAAAAGACTAGTATTGGGCCAATATTATGTGTCTGTTATACGAATCACGCTTTAGATCAGCTTCTCGAGCATCTCCTTGATGATGGAATTGACAAAGTCATTCGCATCGGATCCCGATCAAAGTCAGAGAGACTACAAGCCCTCAACCTGCGAATGGTAGCCCAAAACAGCGACCGGACGCGATCGGAAAAGTCCTCTCTTTGGGAAATACAACAGAGTCTGGGGGGTATTGAGGACAGCATGAGAGAGTCGCTCCGCCGACTGGCAGCATCGGATTCACCACAAGCTATCAAGGCGTTTCTGGCACAAGAATTTCCTAGGCACCACGGGACGCTGTTTGGTGAAAGCGAAGACGGATGGGAACAGGTTACCAGAGAACCTCGTGAGGTCTTGCGGCGCTGGCTCGCAGGCGGCTCGCGCGACAGCTCCCAGTGCCGAGGCGTTGAGGTTCTTAAAGAAATCAGACTTTCTATTATGAATAATGCCGAGCGCCAGGTTCTTCATAGATACTGGCTCAATAGCATCGTTGCCCCACTCATTCACACAATCACGATACTTCAGGAAGAGCACTCCGAGTTGATAGAACGGCGAAATCGGGTGCGCAGCGATGTGGATCTGCGCTGCCTCAACCAGGCCAACATCATTGGAGTTACAACAACAGGGCTGGCCAAAAACCTGGCTCTCCTCCGCAAACTACGATGCAAGGTCATGCTCTGCGAAGAAGCTGGAGAGGTGCTGGAGGCGCACATTTTGACCGCTCTGCTGCCCTCGATCGAGCACGCCATTTTGATTGGCGACCATCTCCAGCTCCGTCCGCAGATTCAAAACTATGAACTCCAGAGCACAAACCCTCGAGGCAAACAGTACTCTCTAGATACGTCTTTGTTTGAGAGATTGGTTGAGCCGCCGCACCTGATGGACCTACGCCTTCCCTTTAGCACATTGGACACCCAGAGGAGGATGCATCCGTCCATATCTGAGCTTGTACGATCAACCTTATACCCGTCCTTGCAGGATGCCGAGAACGTGATGATTTATCCAAAGGTTGCTGGTATGAGAGAGCGTCTTTTTTGGCTTCACCATGATCACTTAGAAGCCGGCGCGGCTAGTCACGACCCCCTGAATACCTCCCACTCGAACGATTTCGAAGCTGAGATGACCGTGTCTCTCATCTCTCATCTCGTTAAACAAGGAGAGTACTCCCCAGACGACATTGCAGTTATTACGCCATATCTGGGCCAGCTACATAAGCTACGGCGCCGAATGGAATCCATGTTTGAGATTTGCCTCAACGACCGTGACCTTGCAGAACTGGAAGAATTCGAAAGCAAAGGCCAGGCAGCTCCGTCCACTTTAAAGGCAAACCGGTCTAGCAAAACAACTCTTCTCAAGAGCGTCAGGGCTGCAACTGTTGACAACTTTCAGGGCGAGGAAGCAAAGGTCATCATCATCTCTCTTGTGCGGAGTAATTTGCAAAAGAAGTGTGGATTTCTCAGCACTTCCAACCGCATCAATGTTTTATTGTCGCGTGCAAAACATGGCATGTACATTATTGGAAACTCCGACACTTACTATAATGTTCCCATGTGGCAAGAAGTCATTGACATGCTCACCAAGGGCGGCCGCTTGGGCACAAGTTTGGAGCTTCAGTGCGACCGACATCCCGACACCCCGATCCGCGTCTCCCAGCCAGACCATTTCATGCTGTTTTCTCCTGAAAGCGGTTGCAACCTACCCTGCGATAAGAGACTTCACTGTGGTCATTCTTGCACTGGGAGGTGTCATTCGGATATTCTGCATAATGTTGTCTTTTGTCAAGAACCTTGCCCTCGGCCTCAAAAAGGTTGCGATCATGCCTGTCCTCGACGATGTGGTGACGCATGTCCGCTCAGGTGCTCTGTTCAGATAAACAATATCGACCTTGTACTCCCATGTGGCCACAGGCTTTCTGCGGCAAAGTGCTGGGAGACTCAAAACCCTGCCTCTGTTCGCTGCAGGGTCCTCGTTAAACGGAAAGTTCCAGGGTGCAATCACGATGTCGAGGTTCAATGCCACGAAGACGTGACCTCTGCCGGTTATCTGTGCACTGCCTCCTGCGGGCACAACCGTGAGTGCGGCCATGCGTGCAAGAGTTCTTGTTTTAAGTGTAACGACCGGGAGGACGGTATGATCAAGAGGCAAAACCACGGCATCTGTAAGCAGAGATGCGGTCGAAGTTATACGACATGCCGACACAGCTGCTCTGAGACTTGTCATGGCGATGCTGGGTGTCCGCCTTGCAAGGAACCATGTGAAGTACGCTGTGGACATTCAAAGTGCAACAAGGCATGCCACGAGCCGTGTGCGCCTTGTGCGGCAAACACATGCCACTCGAGCTGCCCTCATACGAAGTGTACGATGCCATGTGCTGCGCCATGCGACTGGGTTCCATGCTCTAAGCGGTGCGAGAAAGTGCTGGAATGTGGCCATCAGTGTAAGTCTCGTCGTGAGAAATCGTTTGCTAACGGTTCAAAGCTAATGATTGTGTAGGTCCTTCGCTCTGTGGAGAAGTATGTCCTGATCAAACATTCTGCCAGCAGTGTGCGAGTGAGGCTGTCAAGTCTGCATGCGTCGATTTCCTTGAGATGAGAGAATACCACGAGATTGACTTGGATGAAGAGCCATGTATTTTCCCAGATTGCGGGCATTTCCTCACTACTTCGTCTATGGATGGCCAGATGGGAATGGGGGCATACTACGACCTGAATGAAGATGGCCATCCAGTACGACTCGGCAAGACTTCTGAACCTTTCTCGCTGGACGAATCGGGCATTCCGGTATGTGCAACTTGTCGGGGTTCTCTCCGAAATATTGCTAGATATGGCCGCATTGTGAGACGAGCCATACTAGACGAGTCAACGAAGAAGTTTATAGCTTGGGCGCATTCACAATACCTCTCCTTGGCGACTCGGCTGCTCGAAGAACAGGAAATCTTGGCGCAAGCGAGCCCTGGAAAGGTATTTCAGGCCAATACAGCGGCGAGGGGTGTTCAGCTAATCAGCTCCGCCCCGAGACTGAAGCAACTTCGGGATTTGCAAAAGGTTGTGGGAAAAGGACGATATGACTCTGTGATCAAACTCTGGAGGCAGATTAAAACACACGCCAACGGCGTCAGGGGAGAAGAGCAGCCGTTCAAGCGAGTGGCAGACTTTGTGCAATTTGCCAATCGCCAAAACATGGCGAATCGAGAGTTTCGATATGATGAATCCGTCATACAGGTCAAGGGGTCGCTTCTTGCAGACGCACTGCTGCTTAAATGCGATATCATCATCTTGTTCGACTTTCAGCGCTGGGCCAAAGGCGGGGGCCTGACCCAAGTAGATGCGGAAGTCAAGTTGGATTTGTCGATTCATTGGACCGATTGCGCCAATCTCATTGTGCAATCTCGCTCACTCAAGTATGTTAGAGAAGAGGTCCAGGGGCACATTTTTGCCGCGCAGCTCTGTGGACTGTGTCTATCGCTTGACGGGTGTACTATGTGGCCTGTTGGTGGAGATCTCATGATGGAGCAAAACGAGGACAATCTGAAAGAAGAGGCCTTGAGTCATATCCAGCAAGCTCGCACCCTATTGGAAGAGTATCCGTCCACGGCCATGTTCAAAGATGAGATTGATAGTGTTGAGGAGATGATTGGCAACGGCATCTACCGTCCAGTCACGGCGGAGGAACTACGAGCTGTGTATAACGCAATGTCGAATGAGCTTCGGGGCACTGGGCACTGGTATCTCTGTGAGAACAACCATCCGTTTACGATTGGGGAATGCGGAATGCCCATGCAAGAGGCCAGATGCCCTGAGTGCGGCGCCAGGATTGGGGGCCGGAACCACCAAGCTGTAGAGGGGACGAGGCAAGCGGTGGATATTGAGAATCTTGCGATGGGCATGAATGGGTTGAACATGTAGAGGGAAATGTCGATGTGGGATGGAATTGTGTTTGCTTTTCGTTGTTGCTCATGTTGTCTCAAATTGACACACTGACTTTTGTACTTGATGTCTACATAGTTTGGCAGTCGATAGTGTAGACACACATTTCCTTATGCAAGTAAATGCTGCCTAGTTTTGTCATCTGAAAGTTCATAATCTCGCCTCACAAAGCATGTCGTCGCAATCAGTGGCTGTTAGGCAACCTTTGTGATGAGTTGAGCATTCTTATAAGCTGCTAGCATGAGATTCCGAGGATAAGCGGCTCAGTGAATTGCGTGCCCTTTTATATAGTGAAAGATGTTAATGGCTCTTCAACTATCCCACGTCCTCTTATGCGAGTGCCATTCCGCAGAAGATGTGAGATGGCTTTACGGAACTTGATCTATGACCGATGAGGTGGGACGCTTGAGTGATATAGTAAAGGGCACTAGTATAGGGGAAAATGCAATGTAGGAGCGCATATTGAAGAATTACAAAGGTAGGTGACTCGAGCGTGTTTGTACTAGACCCAATATCATCTATATCAGCATGTTTAGTTGTTGGGATGTCGAATAACCAACGTGAAACATGCTGTGAACAATCTGTTTGGAAACCTCCATGACAAACTGAGCAGTCTTGTAACCTCAGATCAAGATTCTGAGGATTAAAAAACAAGGGTGACTCCGACGGATCTTGCTAAGAGATTATTATTCCCGCGGGTATGACGGCTTCTAATCAACGAGAATAGCAAAGACTTACACCGGACTTTTTGCTCGTTCAAACGCCTGATTACTCAACACGTTTCCACCAGTTTTGCAGCAATTGGTGAGAAAGTCGTTGAGAAGTGGCTTTTTGCCGCTAACCGTTACCAGCGTGCTTACCAATTGGGGGGATGGATTGGGTAACTAACTGTCATTTTGCTTGGTTTGTCTGTGAGGAGAAGTTCGGGTATAAACATGAGTGCTTTTGTCCAGATCCCCAGAGTATAGGATGTTGTGGCAGGTTTGGATACGTTTGCGTATAGTAGACACATCAATACTTTGGCTGTATTGAAACAAACAGACATGGCGGGCCACTTGTTAATGACACTTCCTTTCCCCAAGCCGGAACCTCTTCTGAAGGCCTTTCAGGGAGCGTTTCCGGACTTGAAGGTTACGTTTTTGCGGCATGAAGTTAAGCCTGCTGAGGCGTTTGTCAAGCAGGACATGTACATCCCACCAGGTGCGTGACAAGATTCACATTGTGAGTTATGGACTGTGTTCTCACTAACAACGCTGTCACTTATAGAAATCTTGCGTGAGGCAACGCACTTGATGACTTTTGGCGTTGTTCCTGATCCTGCTGATGCTCCTAACCTGCGCTATATCCATTTCAGCGTCGCTGGAACTGATCACGTTGCTCATAAGGCGGTGTTTAAAGATCCAAATATTACTATTACGACTTCGACGGGCGGGCCTAGCATTGCTCTCGCAGAATGGGTCATGGGATCTATCCTTGGATTGACTCGCCAGCTGTTTCAGTTTAAAGACTTGCAGAATAAGAGGACTTGGGGGAGTTCGGCGCCGCCGCCGTTTACGTTGGATGGGAAGAAGATGGGCATTGTCGGATATGGATCCATTGGCCGACAAGGTGACTATTGACCTTTAATTTGTGTAGAGAGTCCAGTTTACTAACAGTGTTGATGTTAAGTGGCGCGTCTGGCACAGGCCTTTAGCATGGACGTTGTTGTCTACAACTCTCGCCCGCGACTTACAGCTGAAGATCGCAAAGACCGAAACTGGTACCAAGCTGGCTCCGGTGATCCAGACGGCACGATTCCCAGCGCTTACTTCCACGGCCAGTCCCGAGAGGATCTTCACAAGTTCCTCTCCCAAAACTTGGACATTTTGGTTCTCGCCCTTCCGTTGACGCCAGCTACGAAACACTTGATTGGCGAAGAGGAGCTTTCTATCCTGAATGCTAATAGCCCTGCTCTCTTGGTCAACATTGCACGTGGCCCGGTGATTTATCAAGAGGCCTTGATCGCATCGCTGAAGAAGGGAGCGGCTGGTGGTGGCCTTTTGGGTGCGGCTCTGGATGTTACGGATCCGGAGCCTTTGCCTACGGAGAATGAGTTGTGGGGGTTGCCGAATGTTTTTATTACGCCGCATATTAGCTCCGTTACGACGCAGACGGTTATGCGGGCGTATAGGATTCTGCAGGATAATCTTGTTCGACAGTTGAAGGGGGGAGAGTTGTTTAATGTTATTAAGAAGGGGAGTGCGTGACAGGGACGTGGATTGCCTTTGGGGAAGTTCTGAGTGTGGAAGGGGGATATATATATCGGTACGTTGAAATGAAGTTTTTATGTTGATTATTGATATAATTACTGTGAAATTGATGTGCCAGCGTCTTGTTTATCGAGGATTATAGTTTGTTGAAGACTCCGCAGAAAAACCGTTCCAATACTGTTGTTTGTTGAGCTTTCTAATGACTTGCTTACAAAATGTCTTATTCACCTTCCACGGCACAAGACAAAAGATACCTCGGTTGAATTTACAATCGGATTTATAATTGACGCTTTACATGATATCGTCTGATAATTACTAGATCCATTGTCCCTCATAATGGAGTTCAAGTGAAAGTTGGTCCGTCGCAGCTAGCAACAAACGATTTCTTCATTGGGAAAGATTTGCCTATTTAGAGTGGTTTTGCCAAATCAGGCAATCAGCCTCTTGTCGCTCAAAATGTCAGCATCGTGTAAAAGAACAGTAACTGTGAAGAACAAGAGAAACTCTTGCGTGTGGGATTTTGTATAAGACAAGTCGCTTCTGCCATGATTAGTTTACAATGGTCAGAAGACGCAACTACGAGTTCAACTACATCTTCACAACCTCATCAAATCAACTCTTACCAACCTTAAAGACAGCTCTATCACAATCTTGTTCAACATGACTCAGTCTTCCTGTCTCTGTGGCGCAAACGTCATCACCTACGAAGGCACCCAAGAACTAAAGTTCAAATGCCACTGCGCCAACGAAGGCAAGCTCACCGGAGCATCCCCCTTCTCGCTCAACTTCATCACCTCGACAGACTCGCTAAAAGTCGTCAAGGGCGAGCTCAAGACGTGGGGTTTCGTTGTCGACAGCGGCAACTTTATGACGAACCATTGTTGTGGAGAATGCGGGAGCTTGTTGTACAGGACGTCGAGCGGGTTCCCGGGCAAGATGGCGGTCAAGATTGGGTGCGTGGACGATGAGGAGATTCTCAAGACGTTTGTGCCCGAGGTGGAAATCTTTACGAGGAACAGGCCTAGTTGGGTGCCGGCTGTGGAGGGCGCGGCGCAGAACTGGACGGATTTTGGAACGGGAGAGGGTCCGGCTGTTGCTGTAGAGGCCAACTAAGAGGGAAATCTTTGAATATATTGGGGGTAAAAGTGTTTGTATGTAGTTGTGGAGAGAAGAGGACTGCACTGGGGTATATAGATGGCAGTTGAGTTGTGGTTTAGTTCCACTTGTTTCCTTATTGGCATGGTACCATTCGGCGACCATTTCAACCAATGCCGTTTCCAAGTGTTGTTCTATATCCATGTTAACTGTCCGAATCCGGTATTATGAGCTGACTTCTATACCTACCGCTGCGAGGCTGACGTTGAAGTTGTCCAGGGTCATGATGACAGCGGAGAAACTCCGATCTCAACTGCCGGCTCTCCGGCTGCATCGTGTGATCTCAGGAGACGTGCCGGGCCTAGAGAAGTTACCTTGCAAGTTGCACTGTAGTTGTTGTCGTCTCCATGGGGCTAATGTGGGTGAAAAGGGGTTGACGAAATGACTTGTCTGAGGAGTTGCAACTCTTGAGAGAATGGGCGCATCAGACAGCCCGCAAAATCTGACACTGCCAGGAGCATTTCATGGATGATATAAGCGGGAAACCAGTTATTGATAATGAATATTGGAAAGACTTGTATTCGGTTAGAGGTTGATTAGCTCATTATTCCAGTTTAGTTTGTAGCATCTGGTGTTGCGACAATGCCGGCTCGATGTGGAACCGTAAGGACAGGCATCGGGGACCTGGATCAATTCAAACGGTAAGCTTATCCATGAGATGATTCTTCTGATTGGTTTGTTGGCGAAACTCCGCAATATAAGCAACATTGACAACAACAACAACATGGATACTCTCTCTCAATACCAATTGGGCGGATCTCGGTGGTAGCTGAGACAACTTCGGATGCTCGGTAGATGTAGATGTTCAACAGTTACCGAATATTGGTCTTTCGGTTACGCACGCGTTGTTTGTCTACTCGTACTTGTTGTACAAGACATCCTCACGCCCGTAGTTGTTTCAGCCTGAAGCAAATCAGCAATTATTATACATCGAAAAAGAAACCATCTCAAAATGCCGAGACCCAAACAGCAAACGCCGGGCCGTCAGGCAATAATGTGGAGGCCAACACCAGGCCAAGCAACGGCAATCGCCAGATCGCGAAAAGACAAGACATATTACCGAGTCGCCGAGTGAAATTGCGACGTTGCAACGATACAGGGTTCAAAGCAAATCCGAGCAAGGGTCGGCTTATCCCGTATTATGGCGCTACTCGATAGTTTTTGCCATGGTGCTAGCATTTTTGCATTTTGTCTTTTTTGCCTTTTGGGTCGGTGAAACAAAGACCCCTGAGGGTAAAGTTTGCGTTGTTGTGTAAGTTTTATGGCTGCCTTACTTTTATCCTGGGATCGATCGACACTCCGCTCAAGTAATGTTTATTTAAAAAGCTTTTGCTTTTCCATCTTTCTGAAAATTCGTCACTCAAGTTGCTAAAACTCAGTCTCATTCTTTTTCATCAGGCTCAACTTGACTCAAGATGCGTACCTCTACTCTTGCGGCCGCAGCCATTGCCGTCACTGGCGCAATGGCGAAACCCCGTTTCCTCATGTATTTCGACCAGTAAGTATCGATTCCTTGATAGTATTGTGATTGTTCTCGTATTAACGAATTTTCAGATGGGACACGCAAAACTTGCCCGATCGCTCCGTGACTGCGGGTGTCACCCACGTCACGACAGCTTTTGCCGGAACGACCTTGTTCACTGATGGCGAGCAATATGAGCCATTCATGCCACTGGACCAGATCCGTGCTCTCTTTGACGAAGGCACCAAGATTTGCATGGCTATTGGTGGATGGGGAGACACGGCTGGCTTCAGTGTTGGTGCCAAGACGCAGCAGACGCGCCAAACATATGCTCAGAATGTCGCTGCTACAGTCAAGAGACTGGGCTACGACTGTATTGGTGAGTAGATGTAACCTAGATATATCTCGCATGGTCACTGACGGTTCAACAGATATTGACTGGGAGTTCCCCGGTGGCAACGGCCAGGACTACATCCAGACTCCCAACTCGGAAAAGGCCTGGGAGATCGATGCTTTCCCGCTCTTCCTCCAGGAGATTAAGAGCGCCATTGGAGCAGATATTGAGTTGTCCATTGCTGCTCCAGGTCGAGTTGAGGACATGATTGGCTACACGCCCGAGAACGTGGCCAAGATTAACAGCATTGTCGACTTTGTCAACGTGAGTAACTCTGTCTCTGCCGTTGGTAGTTGTAGCTTTGAATCAAGCTGACAATAACATCCAGGTCATGACCTACGACCTCATGATGCGTCGTATGAACACAACCACCCACCACTCCGGCGTTGCCAACTCCCTCGCCTCCGTCACCACTTACATCGAACGTGGCCTCTCCCCCAGCAAGATCAACCTCGGCTTCGCCTTCTACGCAAAGTACTTCACCACTGCTCCCGGCGTCAACTGCACGACTCCCGTCGGCTGCCCGACCGCCGTGCTCGAGGACGCCCAAGGCAACGACACCGGCCTCTCTGGCGCAATCACCTTTGAAGTATCGACTTATGCCGGCGCTCTCGAGCACGCCGTCGCCAACGGCATCGCGGACGAGGAGCTGGGCGGACAGTGGTGGTGGGATTCCGACAAGGAAATCTTCTGGACGTGGGACACGGCCGAGTTTGCCGCTCGCAAGTTCAAGGACATTGTCGTTCCTAAGGGACTCGGTGGTGTTTTCGCGTGGGCGTTGGCGCAGGATAGCCATGATTGGAGTCGGTTCGAGGCGATGCAGGCTGGAGTCAAGGCTATGCAGCCCGCGTTGGATATCGAGGTGGGCGTCAGGGCCTAGTGGCATGGATTTCTGTCAGCGGGATGCAGTAGACTATACACTTGGTTAATAGTAATGATCGGAGAGCATAGTTGACAGCTTTCGACAACTGTTTCGTCTTCTTTCCCCTCTGAATAGGCTCATATGGTAATGAGTTGGCCTATCTGCTCGCCTAGGATGCGGTGGATACGCCGAGACAAGGGATTCTTCACCTCATGCCACGAGCCAAGACTTGATCCTTGGCAGAGAGGGGCGTCGGTTGCAGAGACATGATAAAATCGAGCAAGATTGTCAGTAGGATGAATGACTCTTTGTCTGCTTAAGCATCTCACTGCATGGATAGTAGAATACATCAACAGGTGGATAGCCACGTTTCCATGGGGAATCATCTAGAGTGATGAGCATATCGTACTCTACCTTGGGTAAGTGTATGCTTCCGTTTACGTCTATAGTTTCCTCATATCCCGAAGCCATTTTATCCAGCAAATGCCTCGTCTCGCTGCCACAGACGGCAACTTGCACCGCGTCTCCTCTCAAAGTCCATGTACGTAGCAGTGGTGGCATCATAACTAGCGGGCAAATTGTTATACCGAGGCTATATTGCCGTGTAGCTGGAAAAGTTGCATGATGTGGAGGCCAAGACGTGATTGTTTTGTTCATTAGCATGTAGATGCATGAAAGTGACCATTCAGAGCGTCGTTGTCATCTCATCACCAACATAGTCATCCCCAGATGCACTCGATTCGGAAATTAACCGATTCCACGGCCTGGAAGAAGGAAGCAAGAGTCGTTTCTTTCTGGTAAATGGCATGTGTTCTGGCTGGATTCTGCACCTATCAGGACTAGATCACGGCAAGGAAGCAGGTTTAGTTGCAGCTGAGTAGCGCCGTGATGCAGCCACCAGCACTTGGTCAGTCGTCCAGGGATTTACTGGAGGAGTACTTTACTCCATAATGATAGCACCTTTGTGGTATTGAACGATGAGCTATTTTTAGAGTCGGGATCTTTTCCGCCAGATGGGATGGAGAGCGTGACAAGGCAGCTGCCTGTCTGGTGATGATGCACATACACCCATGTGGATGGCGGAGACTGAGAGTAGCTGAATATTTGGTATAGAAGACGACGAAGATGTACATCTCTCTTGTTAGTGATACAATACTATTACTTCATGCTGTAATTCATATCTCTGATTGCATCTAAAGTTTATCACCATGCCGATATGGTAGAGATTTAAGGCTTTGTCTTCTTTGCATTGTCTTCCTTGCATTGCTGGGTGGATGGATTACAGATCATTCCAGCTTCCTTGCGAGATATACGCCAAGATGGCAATTAATCAATGACCAAGAGGGAATTACGCGTCACATTTAAATTGAAACCAAATTGCATCCCGTCCACGATAGATGCTGGATGTGTATGCTGGTTGTAGATATCAGTCGTGGGGAGCTGTATGGACGCAAGTGAGACGCCATCATACCGGATACGTCGTACTTGTACATGCAAAAACGGCTAGTTGGCGCCGGAGCTAAAAGTTGGCAGTACCTAGAGCTCGTTAGCGCTCCGTCGTGAAGGCCGGCCTCGATAAAAAGTGCAACCCGTCAGAAGTATAAACGGATTGAACGAGAACCATGTTAGCAGCACAGTTAGTCGAGTGACGCCGTCATCATGGCGTGAGAATGCAGCCAATAGCAGACAAGGTCCCCTGTTTTGTATTACATCTAGCTTTGGCACTGTTCATCACGCTTTACTGGAGCCTCAAAGACACGGACAAGATGAGAGAGAAAAGAGAAGACTACCTGTAAAGGCGATGAGGAAGAATCTTTCTCGCCAAACCCTTGCAATCTATCGAACCAGGATGTCGCCTCCGGGGCTAAACAATCAATCAATTCTGATCCTATAAATAGCCAGAGGTTACATGCATCTAAGCGCCTAGTCGGACATTGGCCTAGCGGAGAGTCTCAGTCCGGCCTGCGATTGGGCCGTGTGAAGCACGCGGATCCCTGGATGGTCTGGATAATGGAGGAAGCAGAATTGTTCAGCGGTTAGCCAGAGATCCAATGGCTTTTTCTCCGGGGTTCGGGACGGGTTGTACATACTAAAGCAAAGGCTCATGCACGGCCGAGTGCTTACGTCCTGACATCCTCCATCTCTTTTCTCTCTCTCTCTCAAACATCGACTCAGACTTGACATCATCTCTCTTTGCTTCTCTTTGATTTTGATTCTTCAACTGTCGCATCTGCCTTTGTCTTGATTCAACACCGCCAGTACCCAACGATTGCCTCTTCCGACGCCGTTACATCGATTGCGACGTCAAAAACCCTCCGAATCGTGCGAACCAACAACACCAATAGAGTGGGAATTCTGCACTGCATACGAGCACCTACATCTCATACAACACCTGCAGCATATCGACATCGAACAGTTGAAACATCGACGAATACAATACCCGACAAGTAAATAGAAAACAACACCCAACATGTCTGCGAGAGGCTTTCTGGCGGCATTCTGCCTCTTTGCCCTCCCGCTTCTCTCATGGGCACATACCGTCATCGTCTATCCCGGGTGGCGAGGCGACAACCTCATCACAAACGACACTTTTCCCTACGGCATGCAGTGGATGTATCCTTGTAAGCTCTCAACCTCTTTCAACTTATAATCTCCTCAACTATCACCTGGCCCAACAACTAACACGATCGCACACACAGGCGGCGGAATCCCCCTGACGACAAACCGCACATACTGGCCCACGACCGGGGGCCCGATATCCTTCCAGCCCGGCTGGTTCGTCGGCCACGCAACGGCCATGCTGCAGGTCAACTTGGGCATGGGAACCGACGGCCCTGACGGCGGACCGCTCGAGATGTCGCATCGCATCGTGCCGCCCTTTTCCATCGTCGGCCCCAGCAACAATCCCTTCCCAGGCACCATCTGCCTGGACAAGGTGCAGATTCCGAACCCTTCCGACATTGGCATCAAGGCCGGCGTCAACGCGACGATTCAGGTCCTCATGAATGCCCAGCACGGAGCTTCCTTGTTCTCGGTAAGTTTGGCAAGACTGTTGAATGAGCTTGTGCAAGGCTGACAAAGATGGGGTGAAACAGTGTGTCGATATTACTTTTGTCGACCCCGGTGACAAACGCCTTGCACCCGTCAACAGCACCAACTGCTTCAACTCATCCGATATTGGATTCGCCGACATTGAGACCATTACCATCTCAAAGGGCGTCTTCATCGATGATCTGTGAAGTGATGATCAACAGATGATGAAGATGTAAAAAAAAAAAAGAAGCAAATGAAAATTCCCAAAAGATGTTCAAAAACAACGGGAGCAAACAGAGCCCCTACGAATTCAGGATAGGGATGATATACCCAAGAAGCACATGATGCGTCGTCAACGACAAGACACCCACCGAGGAGGCAACCAAGGGTGTTTATTTATTGTATTTATATACAGCACAGGCTGCTGGTTTACCACTTTTCTTCTTCCTATTGTACATAGTTTATCTTGTGTTAGATGAAATGACGACGACATTTGCTACGGGAGTTTGATTCACTCTTGTTCTACGCTCCCTTCTCCGGGTGTTTGCATCTTAACTTTGTCATGTCACCCCGTCTGACGGACTGTTGAAAGTACGAACCAGATGCAAACAGTCTGTTTGTCTCGGCTATGTGTGCTGCCATCTGTGGCCATGTCTTGATTGAATTCTGCGTCCATCTATGCTGTTTCATTTGCACGTCCATTACGTACCAGTTACTTTATTGTATCAAATCATTTATTCTTATATATGTAGTTTAAGCATAAGTGGCTTCCACGCCGCGTGTTCGTCATTATAAACTGTCGTCAATCGGTCTCACAAGCGGGGGCAGCTCATGACTCCAGCGTCCTGCATCTAGCCGCCATTCTTCATCTCCTCGCGTTTGCAAAGCGTCCGGCTATGCAACTATGGCGGTTTCACTGTCCATCATATATTCATCAGTTTGCGTTGGGCAGCCTTATAAAGCCCGCACCCACCATGGATACGGTTATGTGCTTGAAAGCCTACGCTGTATAGCGGTAACATTGCACGGCATGACGTACTCACCACCTGACCAAACGAGCAACAGATGGATAGATGAGATGTTGTGTGACTGCTACACGATGCCCACATGTCAGCTCTCAGCTGGAGAGCTTCTCTAGTGAGTACTTGAGCAAACTTAACCGTTGCTTGCGCCTATTTCGAAGTTCATAATTCGTTCCCATTGTATTTGGTCCAATCAGTATCAGGGAACTCGCGTTCATCTATTTACCTCAAACAGAATCGGGAACGACGAAGCCTCATCGCCCACGGAAAACAATCCACCAATGTGTTCTTCATGCGGTGTCGACGACATGTCCTCCGCCTCCGCCTCCGCCTCATCGTCAGCCTCATCGTCAACCTCATCGTCCCAAGGCCGACCAGCCTCAAGCACAAACAGTTCCAATTCCTATAGCAGTTCCAAAAGCAAATGGGACACCGAATACCTGGCAATCCCCAGAGAGAAAGGACTTCCTCTACGATTCATCGCATATGCCGCAGGAGCCTCGCTCCCAACTACAGTGAAGAAGATGACGAGAAAGGAGAAGAGGCGCGGACAGAGTGCCTCCATATGGGACTTCTTTGGCCGTAACACGCAATTGTTCTGGATTGTCCAGCCTGAGGATCGTCGGGAACGCGGTCGAAGCAGGACTCCTCGTGGGAGAGATGGACAGAAGAACACCTCAGCAGCATCGTCACCCGATATCAACTTCTTTCATGAAGCATATCGAGATTCGGCCAGTCATGTTCCCCAGTCAACAGCTTCATGCGCCGGGTGTGGCCCGGGGGTTGCTCCAGCACATGGTTATTCAAGGGCTTCTGGCTTCTCGTTTGGCGTCTCTCCAGGAGACAAATTGCCTGGTTGGGGTCCTTTCCCACCTTTTGGGAGGAATTAGACTAGCAATATCTTCATCCTTTTCCTTCTTTTTATTCCTTCTTTTCCAGTCAGACTATAAGCAAATTGATTCGATGGAAGAATGCGGTATAGGGCAGAATATCAAGGCAAAGAGCGGACAGGCATTAAATATCTAACAGTGGAGATGATGATGATGAGAAGGATTTTTGGGTTATAAGAGTCGATGCAATAGGCGTGTGGATTCTACCTGACGCTCCATATATCCGCTCTGTACCTGTATCTTGTTAGAGCATAATCTACCTTCAGGCTGGATGGCACAACATGTACTTTGACAATTTAATCCTAGAGAGACAGAGCTGTCGGGCTTATACAGTATGAAGAACAGCATCACAACGAGTAGTACATGTACTTTCCTAACCTACATGTAGGTTTAATTGTAGCAACGTAGCAACAATCTAGCCAGATTTATCCTCCTTCGCCTCAATATCAATTTCCTTCTCAACCAGAAGCTTCTCAACCAGCAGCTTACCAATAGCCCTATATCTAAACCCAGCAGCGCGTGATAACGCCGTTTGGCCAAAATTATCCTTTACCTCAATATCTGTTCCTTCTTCTATTAGCAGCTTAACAATAGCCTTATATCCATTCCCAGCGGCTTGCATTAGTGGCGTTTGACCCAAATCATCCTTCACCTTAACATCAGCCCCTTTCTCAACGAGCAGCGTAACAATAGCAAGACGCCCATATTCAGCTGCTTGTAATAACGGCGTCCGGCCGTCTCCATCTTTTGCCTCAATATTAGCTCCTTTTTCAACCAGCAGCTTAACAACAGCCTCATGCCCAGCTACAGCAGCCCATGATAGCGGCGTCTGGCCATCTTCGTCTTTCACCTCAATATCAGCTCCTTGTTCAATCAGTAGCTTGACAACAGCCTCATGGCCGGCCATGGCAGCCCATAATATCGGCGCCAGGCAGTCCTCTCTCTCGGCCTCTATACCAGCTCCTTTCTCAGCCAGTAACTGAACAATGGCCTCATGCCCATTTTCAGCAGCCCGCGATAGCGGCGTTTGGCCAAAGTTATCCTCTACCTCAATGTCAGCTCCTTTCTCAACTAGTAGCTTGACAACAGTCTCATGCCCAACTATAGCAGCCCATAATAACGGCGTCTGGCCATCTCCATCTTTTGCCTCGATATCAGCTCCTTCCTCGACCAGTAGCTTAACAACAGCATGATGGCCGTAGTACGATGCTATTATGAGATCTGTAAGATTCCCATCAATTGCCATGACGCTAGTCTTCCAATAGGTCTCAGACCACGCCAAGTAGCCCGTCGAATTTAGATCACAAATTCTTTTCGCAAAAGGTACAATGGCAGCATCATCGGCCACCCAAGCTTGGCGAAAATGAGCACCCCAATTTTCAGCCGAGTATTTTAAAAACGCCTTGTAATCGTAGCTAGTTGCCCAATGTGCTCTGGTTCTAGCGCTAATTCCAGAATTAAAAAGGTTCAGGTATAAGACACAGAGCTCCGCAAGAACATTGTGTGCTTGGCGAGTAGTAATCGAGTGATGCCAGTGTAGGCCTGATGGGGTATCTGTCGGAGACGCCAGATCCGCGAGGAGAAACTCGCGAGCAGCTTCATCGAGGAAGTAAACCTTGCCGTGATCGACCGAGATGAATAATCCACACAACGACCTGAGACGTGACTTAAAACTACCCTGATCCTCTGAATCCAGGCCATCAAAGGTATTTGTCGTGTCATCTTGCGCTGTATCATTTATATTCATAGCAATATTCATTTCCGAGACTGTGAGTGGCCGATTAGCGGCCAAGATAATGCTCAAGGCCTTCCGAACCAAATACTCATTTTCAGACTTATTGAGAATCTTTTCAAATGCCTCAGTAACACTCTTTGGGTGCGTTTGAATAATTAGTTCAACCTCTTTTTGTGTTCTTGTAAAAAGATGATTTTCTTCCAAATAGTTAAACACAAGATATACCCAGAGATAGGTGCGGTGGGTAGTCTCTTGCAGCGTTCTCTCTAGGTAGTTGAGAATTCCAGTTGGGAATTTTCCCTTCTCTGACAACTGTTTAATCCGGTGTGTAATAACGTTCTGCACCTCCAGGCTGATGATTTCTGATTCTTCCTCTCCTTGGATATGAACATTTGGAGAATGTTGTAACAAGCCGCGAAATTGAGATGTAATTTGCTCATATGGCCGACATGTGAGAAGATATTTCAACTTGTTTTTGCTGCTGCTTAAATAGTCACTCTGGAACTGGCTTTCCATATTTCGCACCAGGTCCGCAAACTCAGGTTCAGCGCACTCATCTAAGGCATCAAGAACCATAATAGTAGAACCCGCCTCTGGATCTCTTGTAGCTTTTTGTAAAATATTCCAAAGTGATTGCGTAGAGTTGATCAGATCCTGTCCTTCTTTATCGAAATGCGGCGTAGCATGTTTTATCAGCAGTGGTTGTTGTGAAAAAAGTTGATGTAGTAAGGCACAAAGCGCTTGATTAGAGGTATTCTGATCTTGGTCTTTGAAGAAGAAGTAACAGATAGTTGCGGATCGTGGCAGACCGTGGTCAATAAGGTACTTAGCTAATACCGATTTTCCACAGCCAGGGTCTGCTGTAATTAGCAGAAGACCAGACTCCTGGTTTAGCCACTCCTGATAATATTCGTGGTTAAGGAACCATAAACAAGTGTCCTTGACTCTTATTTCAACTTGTTCTTTATACCATTCGTATGTAGTATCTTTATTGCCAGATGTAAGGCGGAATAGCTGGTGACATTCTCGATCTTTCTCGGATAGCCTCTCATTGGCTAAATCTTCCTGGGTTCCAAGCTGATTTTCAGTAAAATCTTGGGGTTCTTCTGCCATATTCCAGCGACTGTCTGCAAGGTGCGGCGAGTGCTGTTGACTGCCTTCATAAGGACCTATAAATGATTAGTTTACTCTGTACATTCAAACAAATCCTAAAGGGTTAGATATTACCAGGTAAAATATCACTAATCTTCTTCTCAGCTTCAACTCTCTTTGGAGGTATTCGAGAAAGGAGATCCCTTGCATATGCTGCAGCCGCCATTGCTGCATAGCCCTGCCACGTTTTGTTTATATGTGAGTCTGCGTAATCGCAGATGCCACGAATAACCAGGCATGGAAAGTTGTTCATTAATCCTGCAGCCTCCATTTCAAAGCAGAGAACGCCTTTCTTCGCTAGTTCATCTCGAACTGAGGCATCTCTCATCAGTCTATTCGCCGAAGCGATTAGGCCATAGTGGATTGCCTGGTCCTCCTCATCATCTTCATTGCGGTTGGACCGCCTGACAAGATTTGATGGATCGTCGCCACAGGCTACCGCACAATCAGTCTCGTTGTTTGGGGGGTGCAAGACGTGTGACCGGTAGAGCCTATCCGTAGTAATTTTGGGTCGCGCAAACTTCATCCGAAGTCGCGGGCGCTTTTCCAGTACGCGCTCGACCTCTTCTAGAATTTGATTCCCATGAGACTCGTATTGTGACCTTAGACCAGAAACAGCCGTCCGCAGCAGCATTGGTGGCGGGTTGAGGAATTCCGCCTCTTGGAACCCCTGGCCTTGCATGACCTTTCCAAAGTCATATTGGATAACTCCGCTCATTCCATCTTTAGGAACACCCACGACGACGTCGCCAAGACGAATATCGTGTCTTGAGCTAGGAGCACCGCCACCAATTCCAACCATTAAAACGAGTTTAATTTGAGGAAACGTGTGCAGCATATCTCTTGCAACACCTGCCGCGGATGATACTCCGTATTCGTCGTATCGAAGCATGGCGATTACGAGATTGTGCCGTCCGATCCTGCCAAGAGTATAGTCATTATTATCGTTGGGGGGTACATATTCCGCGCCTTCATGCTTCTCGTCAAGAAAAGCCTGGGCAGCGACGTACTCAATGGGTAGGGCGCAGATCCAGCCGATGGTGTAATCCGTGCCAGGATGGCTTGCAGAATGTTCGTGTTCACCTTGCCGCGACTGATAAGCTCCAGATTCGATGACCTTTTGTAGAAAATCATCGTCCTCAGTTGCTAGGCCATCGTATTGTCTGGGGATATACACAAGTTCAAGGTCTGTGTCGGGGATTATAACATCATCTTTCCCGACATCATCATCCACATCCATTGCGTCTCCCTCGTTGTCAACGTCATCCATGTCTTTTAAAGTGATGTCTGCCCTGGAGTCGATGTCTGAAAGGCTTCCTAGGTCGTTGCCCTTGGATGCGTCACTTGCATCATCGATATCAACGGAATCACTCTTGACATCATCATCCATCAAGGTCTCATCATCTTTCTGCAAAGCTGCGAAGCGCAATGTTAAAAGCATTAGCACTTGTAAATGCCCCGCAACGTGCCGGGCCATAGCCTTCGAGCGGTCTTCAATCTGTTGTGATATGTGTCGATGAGAGTCTATATCTGGATTAGAAGAGGTGTCTGAAAGATCAGGGTCTGAACTGGGATGACTAGGATGCCTCATCGCATAAGTCTTCCGGGCACTTTTAAAAGTTTCTTGCTTCAATAATCCTTTCCGTCGCTTAAGAAAAGCCACTTTGCCCTGATCCCCTTGTTCTTCTACTTCAAAGCAACACAAAAAACACTCATTCCAAGCCTTTGGCTGTTTAATTTTACTTTGTCGTGAAATGACCTGAAGCTGTTCATTTGTAAAATTACTGCCATGTGAGTTTTTTAAATGCGAATATAAGTCTTGTTGACTGGCGTAAAAGCCATGGTTAGACTCGCAGAGAGTACATACGTGTACCCAGGTCGATGATGAATAAACTTGCTGATACCATTGCCGATTATGATGACCCATATGGCCACACCACTCATCAAAGGTTGGATAGGTCGGGTGCGCTTGTGAGCACACCTCTGAGACGCAAACGTAGGGCTTCAGATCTCGATTAATGTGCCGACTAAGGATAAGTCAATATAATTCCTCTTTACGGTCAAAGAATGTGCTAGCATCATTGTAAGTCTATAGATAAATGTCTCAATTCTCTGTGCATAGACAGGATGAAATCCTCAATAAATCACCAGCTTTCACATAATACCAGATAGACTTGTAGAAAAACATCACCAACGCTTAGTTGTTCAAAGGTAAAGTCACATACCGCCATTCGCTTTCCGAGAGTATTTTTTTATTAAGTGGCTCAGAACACCACTCACAGGTAAAGATGTTACTATCCCCGTTTGTAATAGGTAGCCGTGGGTAGTTACCCTGGTTTACTTGGACAGATGATGTTTTGTGAAACCTTGTTGAGGCTTCATCAGGTGGTTTGTGACGGCTCCTGATCTGTTGAATGTTGACGCTGGATAGGCCAGATTGAGATGGTGTAGTGTGTACTGCTTGGAGATTTGCAATTGGAGTCGCTTTCGCTGGCAGAACATTAGAGACGTCGGTTTGCAACTCGTTATAAGGTACTTCTGGTATAGTTGGCAGCCTTTTATATGGCTTTCGGGGAGTCTTGAGTTGTGTAGAGCGAGAGTTGTGATGCAGCATCCTTTTATATCTATTTATCATCGACTCTTTAAGATAATCCTTGAGAGATCGATGGGCACCAGGATATAGCGTTTGTATAGCATGGATACATAAATAAACAAATGATGCTAGATCAAGACCTGCAGCGGATTTTTCGGCTCTCATATCGATCTTATCATGACTTGTCTGGCGAATTGTGACACCTAGACGGTTCAGTCGGTCGAGCGTGTTATCAATCGCTGTCAGAGCTGCTGATGGTGTTGGGGAAGCCCCAGGGGGGGATTCATCAAAGCCTATCAGAGCCTGATCCCCTTCTCCTTGACTGTTTATTTCATCTTCGTATTGTAGTAGACTGCAGCGAAGGAGATCTAGTAATCGAGCAACGAGGTCTTGAAGATCTGGGAAGTTTCGCAGCCTTGTATCTAGACATTGACTTTCCTGAGCAAACACCCCAAGATATGCAGCCCATATGGAAAATCGTTGCTGAAGTTCTGCACATAGCTCGATATTCACAGCTTTTGCCTTTGCGTTCGACGAGGCTTCTTGTAGTTGATCGAAGACGTCTTCACATTCGCAAGCCAGCCTGTAGAGAACATCTTCATTATCAACGTTGGATGCCATGCTGAGAGTTGGCCGGCAAACGAGACAGGTATAGAAAGATGAAGCAGGACACGGACGGTGATTCAGGCAGAATATCATCAAGCTCGATGTCGGCCGTGAGGGGACGAGCGGGGAGGCGGCAACACAAACCTGCAAGTTTGCGGGTCCAGAGCCTTGCAGGTTGATCCTATCAGCCATCTCAGCTCCAATCGGTAAACATTGAATACCTGTACACAGCAGGTATTATGTATTCACCCCCGCACATCCGCCTACCTCTACTCAGCCTCTTCTTCCCCGCCCTCATAGTCGAAAAAAGTCGAGCAAGTTCCAAAGGCCACCATCGTTGTATAAATGAAGCCGAAAAGACTGAAATGCCTTACCTCAATGAGTCGAACGAATGGCGCCTGCTCGATGAGCTTGGGCGCCTGTTGGACCAGAGGAAGTCGCGATACCCTGTGTCAACAGGGCCGCTCAGGAATCACAAGGGAGTGGAAGTCAATGCCGAGTTAATCGAAGTCGAACTCCGCCGCGTATTTATCGTCAAGCAGATATCTCGGAACTTGGAACCAGAAGAGTTCGACCAGTTCCAAGAAAAAGTGAAAAGCCTCTGCTTGCTGTTAGATGACCTTGCACGGTCTCCTAACACCCACGTTGGAACCGAAAGTTTGGCTTATCCCCGTCTACGGGCATTGACTATGCTTGTGGAATCAACAACTGGAGAGCTTGACCTAGCATGCGGGCCTAATGAAACGCTGTTTCAACTTCCTCGCAGCGCTCACGAGCTTCGCAAATGCCAGCGGGTTATCGATGAATATAACAATGTCCTTGGTCGACTGCTCGGACCCCCTTCGCAAAACCCAGTTATTCGACCATCCCAAACGCAACAGATAAAAAAGGCATGGGACAAAAACATAATGCGGAACCAAGCTCAATTAGTTCTGAAGACATTATTCAAGTGTTTTAAATGCGGAGCGCCACATAAAGTACTTTTAAAAACTATTGAAGACCCCGATGAAGATAAAATGCTATCGAATTTACAACTTATCCTTTCGCCATGTCTAGAATTAGATTTATGGCAAGAAGCCCGGTGTGACTTCGTTAATTTGTATGTTTGCTAACATCAGTGTCTGTGAGGATTCGCCTCTTTCGTTACCTTGTACTTTACTCACATGGCCACCAGACAATCTTCAATTCTATCTAGGATATCATTATCAGATATCTGTATGAATCTCCGTCAGCATACTGGTCAAGGAAAGTCGCTGGTGCTACATATCAACGATATTGACACGTTCGAGCTGTTCGGTACCTGGACGAGTCCTACTTCCTCTGTCATGAGTTCGTCACTAGATGAGTCTCTTGACCAACTTATCCTAAAGGGGGCTTTCAGGCCTTTTAACCCGGCCATATCCGACGAGATGTTACCAGCCAGATTCAGCACTAAAGATAGGCGAGCGCTTGCTGTTAAGCTTGGGTTTTGTCTTATGAACTTCTTTGACGCCGACCTTACCTCAAAAAGGATCCATCTCCTGGATTGCCTACCATACCTAGCTTTTGACTCGGAGCCCCCAGCGACGACCGACTCAAAAAGCTTCCAGATAGGCCACCCCACACTACTATCTTTTGCAAAGCTATTGCTAGAACTTGACTTTGGCACAAATATCGATATAGACATAAGTCCAAACAATAGTGGAAATCGTCAGGCTTGGGTTGAGCTCTTGTGTCGCGCAGAACTTCTTCAACAAGATAGAAACGATTGGTATGACGACGCCATCAGAGGCTGCCTAATGGTTCACCATAACATAACAATGGCGTTGTCGTCTCTCGACAACAAGCACAAAGATGTGGATTCAATAATAAGAGAACAGCTCTACGAGCAAATTGTCCAGAAACTTAAGCTTGGACATGATTCTGGATATGGCTCTACTCGCAAACGGCAACGATCAGAGTCGCCACCTCGGTCTGACCACTGGAACGAGGGTCAAGATTCTGGCTCTGCAAAAACGACCACGCCGTCTTTGAAACTTGAACGAGCAATGTCTGAAAACAAAAAACAACGCCTCACCGAGCCACAGACTTTTCCTACTGTGTCTGGACTAATACATGGAGAAACTAGCGACTTGGGCAACAGCAATACCCTAGTCAAGGGCTTTGCAGACTCGTATGTTTCCACTTGCCCCATCTAACAATACGCCTCCCATTGCTATTGATCCTTGTGTCTTTGGTCGCAAATCTGTGAGCCCAATTCAAACTTGACATGTCGTTTTGGTTTCCGTGACACACAGCCATGGTTTTTCCAAGGAGATGTGTTCATGTAAACTCTCGCGACACAGATTCAACTTTACGCAGATGAGCAACCTAGACAACAAAAATGTGATGGGTCATTGCAGTGAGGCAACTCGCGGCTAATTCTTCCTGCTAGGAACCCGAGGATTATGTTCTCTATGCGACCTTCTCGCCGCGACGACTTTGAGATTGCAATCATATGCGCGCTAAAACATGAATACGATGCGGTTAGCTACATCTTTGACGAGTTCTGGGACGAAGATGGTGACCAGTATGGACGAGCGGCTGGAGACACCAACCATTACGCGACTGGTCGTGTGGGCAATTACAACGTCGTTCTAGTTCTCTTGGTGGAGATGGGCAAGACCAACGCAGCTACCGCAGCAGCTAGTATGCGATCGAGCTACCGCGGCTTGCGGCTTGCCCTCCTCACAGGAGTATGTGGCAGTGTGCCGCATGGCCAATATGGAGACATCTTCCTAGGAGACGTCATCATCAGCAAGACCGTCGTCCAGTATGGTTTTGGCTGGCAATATCCAAACATGTTTGTACGAAAGAACACTGACGAAGACGAACTTGGCCGGCCAAATAAGGATATCCGCAGTTTGGTCGCCACATTCGAGACCGATCGGATCCGCGATCAGCTCGAACAGCGAACAGACCATTTTCTCAAACAGCTCCAAGCCAACGTTGCCCGGGGAAAACGACATGGAAAGTACGACTATCCTGGAATAGTAAAGGACAATCTATTCGAGCCAAGCCATCGCCACAAGCATCACGTCTCGCCGACTTGTGTTTGCCACGATTGCTTCGATGGGTCGGACTCTGTTTGCGATAGGGCACTCATTTCATCGTGTGCGGACCTCGGCTGCAACAAAGAACAACGCCATATTGCAAGGAACCGGTTCCAGGCGATACAACAGCTAGAACACGACGGAGTCGGCGATTCTCCGCAGCCCGCGGTATATGTGGGAGCCGTCGCATCGGGAGACAAGGTGATCAAGTCGGCAGGGGAACGGGACAGGCTTACGAGAGAAGCAGGAGTGATTGCCTTCGAGACGGAGGGCGCTGGGGTCTGGGACGAGCTGCCTTGCATCGTGGTCAAGGGGGTGTGCGACTATGCGGACAGTCACAAACACGAGGAGTGGCAGAACTATGCGGCGGCGGTGGCGGCGGCGGCATCCAAAGCTGTTTTGAAGTTCTATACTCGAACTGACAAGCCCTGAAAGCATATGGATTTCCTTCTGACTTCTCTTTACATGTAATCTGTCGGATCTGCGGCCAGTTACAATTTGGACAAGCTTCGTCGCGTCTTCCTCCAAGGGCTATTGGCGTTCGCCTCAGTTGTTTTCAGTTGGAGGGCGTGGTTCCAGGCTTTGGCCGATAGTGGGACATCTAACTGTAATTCGCCAGTTCTTACCATGGGCTTTACGGAGTATATTCATTCTACATTATGCGATATTGTCTGTTTACTTATTGGTATAGATGTCTAGACACCTACATGTACTCTTAGCACGTCTCGAGTGGCTTCTTGGGGGTACTTATCGAAACTCTTCGCCAGGATTAAAAATTAGCATCACATTTTTAGATGGTCTGCTGGTAATAAAGGACATTAGTTTAATGTTTTCATGTTGTTTCTTCTGGCTTTGATGTTGAAAGAGAAGGGGATCACGCCGTATGCCTGCTTCCATAATTTGAGGTTGAATTGTTCGTATCTCGAAACCACTTGTAGAAAGACTTGTTGTACCCGCGTAACACCACACAACGCCACACAACTGGATACTTGTTTCGCTAATCACTATCCACGTACTCTATGTTATACATGAACCAACTCATCGTGCAATATTGAAAACTACACGTACATGTCTAATGACATTGTTGATGCCCTCCCGGGTTGGCCGTGGTCGAGACATGGCACTAGCCACAGCTGGCACGCCGGGAGTGGCTGTGCACCACGGTAAAGGAGGCGCTCTCCCGCTTCTCCTCCCGTTTGCCAGCTTCAACCATTCACCATCGTCTGCTTGACTGCCGCACTTGGCTCGACTTGGCCTCGCGCTTATGGAGCCCGTTTGCTGTCCAGGAAGCCTTGCGAGGCACCCGCGAGGACAAAGCGCTGGTTGAGTCTCTTTTCAGACGCCGGAACGAGGCTCAGCGAAGCAAACAGACAGCGCATCAAATCTCCCTTCACTGCTGTGACTCAGTCGGCAACCAACCGTGCATTTTCTTTGTCGTTCAGGGGTCTTTTTTTTCCAGATTGCAGAACGATCGGGTCGGAGAATGGCTTGTGTGTTATGCGGTTTGCTCATCGTGCGCTGCGTGACGATGTGAGCTAACGTGACGATGCGTTGCAACCAGACTTTCTCTCCGGGAGCACAAGCACGAGCACGAGATGCGGGGGAAATGCTTTGCGTCCATGATCCATTTTGAAAGAAATCCAAAGCACGACACACTTCCATTCTGCGCTTTGCATCAACTCAATCTGATCTTTCAAGCTCACATGGGGCAAGTATAAAGGCTCAGCTTAGCGTACCCAGTGGCTCACGGATCTCAATGGAGGCCTTCAGATCAGGCAGCCAGCCAGTCCCACCTCGGCGGGAGTCATCCAGCGAGATCTGCCTCCTCCACACTGCTTATTGAGCCATTCACATGCTCTTGTGCGCCGAACGGACTCCACTGCTTCTAGGCCGCAGCAGCGCCGCAGCCGCATCCGTGTCTAGCCTTGGAGGCTTTGTTCTCGCTTCGTCTTGCAGTTATATAAGGGTGTCTGAGTTGTCAACCTCAACACAAACTTTTCAACCAGTCCATCCTTCTCTTCCTTTCCCGTCTTCTTTTGTGGACTGGTCGAAACCCATATCAACGGCTTTCACTTGTCCTCGTCTGAATCTCGCCGCCTACGATTCATCCCATCTTGGAGTGGCGAGTGACATCGGGCGGGCGAAAACCTCGACACCAAAAGTGTCGCCTGTCGGAACCAGTGCGTTCCCACGGCCACTTTACCACCTCGTCGACAAAACCTCACACAAACAACGCTCGACGTGTGTTAAGACATCATGGATCCCTTCATCAACATGTCGGCGCAGTTCCCCAACGGGGCTGTTCCCAACCCCCAGTTCGCCCTCCTCAACTACTTCTTCCCGGGCTTCTCCATGTTTACGTCTGCCCTGCACGCTTACCTGGGTATTGACCTCAACTTTTACATCCCTCTCCTTGTCGCCATCTTTGGTCTGAATTTCGCATGGAGCTATTTCAGCACTTCAGCATGGGCCTGGATCGACGAATATCTCATGTCGTCCTTTAGGGTCCGCACTGATGATGAAATCTACAACATGCTGATGCTCTGGATCTCACGTCAAACGTTTTCTCAAAACTCTCGTCGTTTCCTGGTCAATACCGATTTATACTCTCGCAGCAGCTACATCTGGGGCGGTTCAAACGACGACAGTGACGACGAGGATGGAGACGACGAGGTCAGCATCGATATCCTAGGACCAAAGCAGACTTTGCACTATACTCCCTCGTTTGGGTCTCATCTGTTTTGGTACAAGGGATGGCCCCTGTTCTTTGAACGTCACCAGAACCAGCAGCAAATCAACTTCCAAAGCGCCAGCGAGCGAGAGGAGCTCTCCATTTCATGCTTTGGCCGGAACCCGCGTCTCCTCAAAGAACTTCTCTTCGAGGCTCGTCAGATGTACCTCAAAAAGGACGAGCGCAAGACCCTCATCTATCGCAGCTCCAATGGCACTGCCTACGGCGGTGAGCCTTACTGGCAGCGCAGCATGTCTCGCCCTAACCGCCCCTTCTCCACCGTCATCCTGAGCGAGAAGATGAAGCAGGATCTGATTGACGATGCCGCCGACTACCTCAACCCTGCTACTCGCCGGTGGTATGCTAACCGTGGTATCCCTTACCGACGCGGTTACCTTCTCTACGGCCCCCCAGGTACTGGAAAGAGCTCTCTCAGCCTGGCTTTAGCTGGGTACTTCCGGATGAAGATTTACATTGTCAGCCTGAGTTCCACCAATGCCACCGAGGAGGGCCTCACCTCTCTCTTCAGCAACCTGCCCACTCGCTGCCTTGTACTCCTTGAGGACATTGACACCGCTGGTTTGACACACACCCGAGAGGAGCCGGATGTCGCGCCTGCCCCTGTTGCTGCTCCGAATCCCTCGGCACCAACTCCGTCTCCGCCTTCAAATACAGGATCAGGTGGTCGCCTTTCACTCTCTGGACTTCTCAACATTCTGGATGGAGTCGCCTCGCAGGAGGGCCGTCTTCTTGTCATGACCACCAATCACATTGAGAAGTTGGACAAGGCGCTGATCCGGCCCGGCCGCGTGGACATGATTGTCCCCTTCAGCCTTGCCGATAAGACCATGACCGAGTCCATCTTCCGCGCCATCTATGCACCCTTTGAGAGCGAGATTTCCTCGAACGAGCTGGCCCTCGGCTCCAAGAGCGGTACCAGCACACCCAAGCGCGTTGAACCGGATGAGGAGGCCAAGCAACGGTGGGCCAGACAGCATGCTGAGATTTCTGAGCGCATTGAGGTTCTCTCTCTACAGTTTGCTACCAAGATCCCCGAGTTTGAATTCAGCCCCGCGGAGATTCAGGGACTGCTTCTCAAGTATAAGCGGTCCCCCGAGGATGCCATTGAGGCTGCAGACGCTTGGGTGATTCAAACTCGCAAGGATAAGAAGGAGAAGGAGCTGCAAGAGGCTGAGAAGCGGCGCAAGGAGCAAGAGGAAGAGGAGAAGAAGAAGGCTGAAGAGGAGCAGAAGAAGGCCGAAGAGGCGCAGAAGAAGGAGGGCGAGGATAGCACGGCCAAGACTGAAGGCTCGGACCAGAAGGAGAGTGCCGATGCTCCCAAGGTACCTCAATCCACCGGAGAGGGAGATGCCGACAAGGGAAGTGAGGCCAAGGTGGAGACGTCCGATGTGACCAAGGATGATAAGAAGAACACTGCATCGGATTCGGAGTATGAACGGGTGTAAAGAGCGTCAGACGGACGAATGGTCAGACATCGGGTTGCATAGCATGGCGTTTTGGGGATTACAAAGATTTTGGCTTGGGCGGAACAACACCCTTTTTGGACATGAATTAGAATAACTTGCGAAATCAACTCCAAGAGCTTATCTATTTGATAGGTTCATGCACGACGTATAGATTGAATGCATTGTGAATCCTCGTGATGAGAGTAGTTGTAACCCCGTCAATCTCCGCCGCAATACTCACCTTGGATCCTCTCATCAGCTGGCAACTATCATGTGCAGCTTATGGTTACATCAAAAGCTGACGGCATATGCACAATGTCGTGCTTCCAGTTCATCCAGTCTGGCCTGAATTGAAATGGCTACGGCCTTGGAAGAGGACAGGGAAAAGCCGCGATGTCTGTCGTTGCTGCTGCTATTTGTTTCTTGTGTTTCGACTGACTCGCATCACATGTAGAGGAATTGAAGGGCTTGCTGGCGTGACTCTGAGATGCATTTTGTATGATTATTGTCAGGCTGATTGACGGCTGAGTAGGGCGATATTTTGGGTCTGTTTGTTCTGTGGTGTTTTACTTTGGGATTCAAGTGCTTTCTGGGATGATTAAAGATCATTGTGACTGACTATATCATGTTTGGCTGAGTGCTGGGGCCTAAGTTTTGTGTTACGAGCGATACTGCCCGTTGTTATTTTCTAAAATCGGCTCCGGCTCCTTCTGTTGCAACGCTGGCCTTGAAGTTTTCTGACGCCGATCGAGACACAGGAGCCGGATTCGACATGTTGCAATTGACTGAACCATGCGCTTCTGGAGTATTGCGCGAGTTCTAGGAAACATGTAATTGAACTTTGCTTCACGTATCTCTTGAATAATTTAGAATGTCTTTTATTGAGGGCTATGCTGTTGAATCGTTTTAATTATTCCATAGTGAAACTACACGCAACTGATCCATGTGCGAAGAGCAATCATGCAACGGGGGGCTTCCCGAGTTCGCTGATGGTGGTTTCGACAGAGTCCCATAAGGATGATTGAAACGCAAATACTCGTTCAATAGTTTCTAATCTAAAGTGTTAGAGATTTTTTTTTTAAACTTGGTAGCGTTGAGGATTTTAGTTACCAAGGGAGTTTTCAAGTTTGCCAAGAAGTTGTATCATCGGTAAACCATGATTGGGCGCGTTTTTCAGATGGGAATAAAGCGTCTGCCGGCCCAAGCAAAATACATCAAACTCCTTGACCCAACTATCAAACTTTGTCGAATGCTCTCTGGCGGTGGCGGTGGCGTTATTTGGGTATTGTTCAGAGAATGATAAGCGGACCAGACGCCCCTTACACGAACTCGTCATCTTCTTGATGACTGATACCATCTCATCCTCCATGGTTGTCATATCAGGCTCTATCGATGAAAAATGAATCGGAGGGGGTTTTACGGTGTTTAGAATCCTAGGAGTAAAGCCTGCCTTATATACTTGGTAGGTAATAAGCAAAAGTACATGTATTAGGTATTGATCCGTGATCTGTGCTTGAACACATTTCTTTGACGCATTCCTTTGCCATACCCCAGCAGTAAAGAACTGCTTGCTCTTTGTTAATACTCATGGCTTCTGCTCCATATTCGACATTCTCTTTGTATATTCTGTGGGGTTACGGAGTATAGAGTAAAATCATGTTCAAATCGTAGGCTGCAAGTATCCTTTCAGAAATTTACGCCGGATGGCCGAGGCGTGTTTCAAAGTACTGATGTTGAACCAACCCCGGCAATAAAAGAACAGACCTCTTTCATACCAACTACAAAGTACAATTGACTCATTATTAGTGGCTAGAGATGGTGCTCAGGCACGGACAAATCTGTCCAAACAAAGAGGCCCCTTTCTGAGCACTGTTTCCCATCCGCTCCCAAATTGAATGATAGGGTACAGGGATTACTATCAAAGAACTTGGAGTAGGTTTGCTTGGCTTAGTTTTGAGGCAGAACAAAGCGTCTTAGAACGAAAGCTAGACGCGACGTCAGGGGCCAGTTACACTGCAGACATTCCTTTGTTCATAGAAACGAAGTCAATGGCGTCAGAGTTCCCAACTGGCAAGCTAACCGGCCCAAAGGGCTGAACAAGGTATAAAAAGGAGCCGCAGCCCCTTTGTTTATAGAAAGATTAGACATAAACACAGTCTTTTGTATAACCCTAGCTGTGTGGTCCGTGATAGTGGCCGCGTGGCCCTCAGCCTTGACTCTTTCACTCTTCCCGTTGCCGCCACTCTCTGACACGTGTAACTACATGTACATATCTACGGGCATAGCATCTACATATCGGGATGCTAACTTGACATCTCATCACTGCACATCTCACCTTACCTCACTGATCGCATCTGATGAAGACTGTATTCGTTATGGCTTTCAACGCCTCTTCATGTCTTTGTTGGTGACCGTCGGTTGTTTGGGAGAGTACTCTGTACCTGTAACCGCATCCTCATCTGTGACCGAGACAGGAGACGGTTTCTTTGTACTGGCCAGCTTTTTCCACTTTGATGGAACGTGAAATCCCACATGGTCTTCATCCCTTTGGCCTTCGCGCAGCTGGACTCGTCTTTGCCGTTACGGGTCCGACGCACATCTCTGTAGAAGAGTATGGACGAATTGGGCGAATTGCCGGACCTGTGAGGTAGCGCTTTGAGCATTATGATCAAAGGAAGGTTGCCATTAGAGCGGATAGTCTACTCGCAACTGATAACTTCTGGCATCGCTAGATTACCTATCTGTTCTCATCTTCATTCCCTCTCCCAAGTCAACAAACCGGCATTACTGTGACTACATGAACAACGCCAAATCCGCCACTGGGAGATATAGAGTAACGTTTTTTATCTTTCAAATTATTTCTTCAAATCTCTGCTGCCATCTCACCTCTCCCTTTCTGTAGTACGTGTTATATTGCGCTCTTATAAACGTAGGAAAGGACTGTCAAGAAGCTGGAAGATACATGTACTTCTCTACATGTTGGTAGCCATAGAAACGTAGAGGTAATTTATTTAAATCCGAGCCGTATAGCCATATGTGGCCTGCTGGTTATGAGTTTGATGCTATTGGCTATAGCATCTCTGTTTCTGTGTAACATCGGAATTATTTTATATACAATCGTGGAGTATCCGGTATTCGTAGCCAATCGAATCAAGGCTTATTAAATGCATATACTTGTATCACATGGAATATGACTAAATGCGTCTCTGTACTACATAATGTATTACTAGATGTGTATATCCGTACCACATAAGGCGTTAGTAGATTCGAATATCTGTACCACATAAGGTATTAGGTATTAGTAGATGCGTATATCGACATTACATATACACATATCATACACAGGTATATATTTGGGTAGTCTCGCAGTTGACGCCCAAGTGGCAGACTTTCACTCCTACACCATTTGTTCAGCTACGAGATTTCTCACGACCTCATGCACAATGGATCCAAAAAGAGTCTGGTTCTTTTCTCCTGGTTTCAACTTTCTTCCTGATGGCGAAATCTCATTAGGCTCAATTATTGCTCATCCAGATCGGCCTACGCTCTCGCTCGCGTCGCTTGATTCCGCATCTCATCCAGAAATTGCCCTCCCAAAGATCAATACCATGACCGAGTCTGATCACCATCACTCCCAAAGCCAGAGCACGTCACTTATCGCTCAAGCTTTCTCCAAATTTGCAGACCTAGCCCAGACACACGGAAATGCGAATATATCCCACTTCACCAACACGGCTTATGGCAGTTCAGACTTCGAAACGAGAGTATTTGGTAGTCGCATGAGCGACGATACATTGAAGGCAGTCGTTGGTCTAGATCGGGTCAGGAAGTATATAGATGGAGCCATGTTTCGCAAGCGGCCCGTCTACATTATCTCAGGGTTGCGAATTGCCAAGGACTCCTTTCAAGTGACGAGCGGAAGTGGGTTGGCAAATTCGGCATCAGTGGGAATTTCTATCTCTACAGCGACGGACCCTTTTTCTCTTTCAGGAGGGGGTGATGTGGCCGTAAACAGAGAGCAAGGCAAGAATGACAGTTACAAGACTGCTCCCGGCGTTGTGTTTGCATACAGACTACATGTCATTCGGACTAAGAGGGATGGTGATATTGAAACTGAGCTGTTCTCTCACCGAACGGCGTTTCTCACCGGCGAAGGCGAGGATGAAGACTCTGAAGAAGAGTGGGAGCAAACAGAGGTGTCCAAAAATGTGCTGCTTAGCGACATGGAGATTGATCCTGATTTCGATGAATATACACTGGGTGAAGAAGGGGAGGAATGTTGTATTGCATTCAGACATTAGTTACGACGTTGAAGCTCTGACTACAAGGGTTTAAAAGGAACGAGACTTATCAGTTATATCTCTTCATTCAAGCAGTCAAGAATATCATCATTGCTAATTCTTCCAGCTATGGCACAACGAAGATATATCCGCATCTCCCAGTCGCCCCTTTGGTTCAATACAAATGTAGAAAACAAGCCAACTCAAATAAGCAACATTGCAACACCCCAAATTTAGTCCTACCCAAATCTACTGCAAATAAACAGGCCGACTCAAGTAATGAGGATCGGACTGGAGAGCAGGCTGAGGCGCCCAATCCCCCTCCGGCCTCCGGTCAAGGGTCATGATACTTTGCGTGTACCACTTGTGCATCGCTATTCCTGGCGGTGTCCCCATCATCTTCCTGACTCGGGGTGATTTGCGGGCCTCTTCTGGACAATAGGACATGACATTCCAGGTCCAGTTTGACTTCGTTTTCGCAGTTTCAAGGACGTGATATGTAGAGATTCCAACAACCCAATGTCCTCCTTCCCAAATGATGTCAATGGAATAGTCTGTGTCGCATACGGGACAAGATAGAATAGAACCGTGACGTCTGGAAAAGTAATTTTCCTGAGGGGGCTCTCGATGGACAAGTAACAACCGGCCGGTATTGACATGACGACAAATAGAAATGATCCCCATGTTGACGCTCTGTCCTGGTAACCTACGATCGATGGTGAGGGTCAAGGCAGTGTAAGAGTGAAGTACCAGTTGGTCGTCGATAATCCGAGCTTGCCATGATCTAGTATAGGCCACATTTTCTTGGTAAGTTTGCAAGGGATAACGAGGCACCAATTGTTCAACCGGACAGTCGTGGCTAGACTGATCGAGGGGCGCATTCATAATTTTTCGAGCGAGCTCAAAAGGCACACTGAGTGAGTAATCGAATCCTCTCATCGGCAGATGTTGAGGGCTTAGATGTCCGCCATTAAAGTCGTTGCAGGTAAAGAATTGGGCATTGAACCAGTATTCTTGCCGCAGTGGATGATATGCGTCGCAGTCGTAGCAGCGGTAGGCTCTAACCGGGACTCTTCCTAACCCGACTTGGATTCTCTGTTGCTCTGCGATAGAAGGGTGGAAATAGCCATTGTAGAAGTCTGGGCAGACGCTGGCAAAACAAACAAGAGGAGTTTGGTCAAGGTGCCCTGTGATGATGCTGATGATGTTGTTACGGATCTCCCAGTGTTGCAGCGGACGAGGTGATTGTTCAACATCGGGCTCACGGCGCCCCAGGCAGAGGAGTCGGCGGATATTCTTGCGGATACCCATGCTGGATATCAGGCGGGCAATAATAAGAATGAGATGATACAACAAGAGAATGGATGGGTGGAGTTTATCAGGAACTCCGTGGGATGGGAAGCGGCTTTATATAGGGAGGGGGGTAGTCAAGTTTTTGGGATGATAAGTTTTTTTTTCACGCGAAAGTTTGGAAGAAATAATGGGAATCTTCAAAACGAAAAGTTTAAGGTATGGTGGCTACTCAGGAAAACTACATCGTGCTCGAAAGTTTGCCGTGTTATCGCGGTGTTTCCCCTAATGCTATGGGAACAGAAAACCTAAAGTACAGAGAGGCGCACTAATAAATTTGAGCTCGAAACTAAGCGTTATCATTCCCAGGAGATGACAAAAGCCGTTAAAAATATACTAGACGCTGATGTTAACTACAACAGATTCGAAATCGTGGAGATGGCATCTCTTGGAATGGACAACATCAGGCCAGAGAAGCTTGAAATAGAGTAAAGGTTGAAAAGAATTTACGTGCCTCACCATCTGCACTATTTCATCCAATATTGGCTAAATTATCACAAAACAAGACATAAGATTCGAGGGCCTCCGTCGTCCGTCAGTATTTACAAACCCTCAGTATATGTACCTATTACCCGATAAAAGCCTGCCTCAAGGACGAGTACAAGATAGTCCCCAGCTGATATTGCTGTAAGTTCTTCAGCTCAGAAAAGCAAATTATTCAAAGGTAAGTATAAAATTTAGTGGCTGCAGGAGCACTAGAAGTTTACTCAGATGAAAAAGAAAAGCCCAAGTACGGGAACATAGACTAATAAGATGGAGCTAAGTGATAAAATAAATGGAACTCTAAACGAGGTTCTCCCAATATAGTTAGTAGATAAGAATAGATGTATTAGATTCGTATAAATCTAGTAGATATAGAAGGGAGTGATTCTAGATCAACTCGTATATGAAGTAGAGCTTCGTGTGAGCCTAAGGAGCTGATAGAAGGTGAATAATCCTTCCTTGACCCAACATCAAATCAGCTAGAAGCTTTAGGAATGTCTGTCCTCTTGCATCAAAAAGACATTTTGCAGATGATACTGGATTGTACAATATCTATCAAGATGCCCGGTTGAATCCCGGGCGGGCGTCGTATCTCTCCAGAATGATATTGGATCTATAAACCGTTGTTGGCTGTTGGCATTTTTTCCCGCCATGGCTCTAAATAACGCTTCCATGCCGATCTGCTGTCGGAGCAGCTTAAGTCGGAGTAACCCGTCATTCTCCTTCACAGACGGCTCGAGATAGGGCAGAACATCTGCATAGGCAATCATGGTGGCACTGATGCCTGCCGCCACGGCTGTGGCAATGGATGATCCAGGTTGGTAGACACCCCGATGTCTCTGTTGAATAGTCGTGATGAATTCATCCGGAATGTCACTTCCGTACGTACCCCATATAGCAGGGGCCCATTCGGGCAGCCGAGGGTTCGTCTCCAGGAAAGTTCCGTGACAATTGGCGGCATGAATCGATATCACATATGATTGGCGAGCGGGAAAGCATTCATTCTCAAAAGTGGCGTTGCCGGCGCTTGCAAAGAAGAGCACAGAATCTTCTCTTTGACGCAGGACGTCTCTGATAGCATTATCAATGCCATTATGATTCTTTGGGAATCCGAATGACATAGAAATGATGTCTGCCTTGCATTCTATACCAGCCCATAAAATTGCCTATTGTACACAATGTGATTAGCTGGATACTTAACGATATGATATCCTACAGTGGGTTGGATTTACTTACGTCCCTAACGTTCTCCTGGCTCACTTCCAAGCTCTTTGTGCTCTTCGACACACGTGCGACGATGATTTCAGCCGAGGGCGCACAGTTCATAACAAGCCTGGCCATGAAGGTGCCGTGACCAAAGTCATCTGTCGTCCTGTTGGTTGCGCCATTGACAAAATCTCGTTTTCTTTTTATACGCCTAGACATGTCTTCGTCAATGCCAGTGTCCAAGATGGCCACGCGGATCACAGATTCTACTTTGTGACGACGTCGGTGTAGTTCTACCAACTCGCCAATCGAATACAGATCTTGAAGCCACTTGTCAGGTAGAACAGCTCTTCCAGAATGAAATGATGACTCGAGCTTTGACAGCTGGTCCAGTGACCCTGTACTGAAGGGCTGTTCAAGTGCGTTGAACAGATCTCTGCCAAAAACATCAAGGTGATTTTTTGAGCCCGGGTTGAAGCTATCAGGTACGCTGACGCTGTCATCGTTGCCACCGTAGATAAGTTTATAAAGGCGAGAGCAATTAACATCAATCGTACGAATAAGATGCTCAGAATCCGTGGCTTGAAAGAAGGCTATAATGGAGCTTTTCTTCAACCGGTCGTTCGTAGGGGCCTGTTCCCTGTAAGGATTATTGGTGCCAAGAAGACGAGTCAGAGGACCATTCGGGGGCCTACGTTGCGCCCACTAAATTGTGTTAATAAGGCTCTTCTGTTATATAGATATGCCCAATAGGAAGATAAGACATACTTGATCTATGTGAGCAAAGTTACTCAAAAGAGTTTTGCACAGTTGCTGAGTTTCAAGAGCGATCCAACAGCCTGGAATCGACTTGAGGTCGTGATTCGTCAGAGCCAAGTTTGTAGCAATCTGCATCGCAAGACACTCGCGGGCTGGGAAAAAGCTCCTCTTTTTAAGGCCACTGTTGAGAGCCTTGAGGATGGGGATTGCCCGCTCCAAATAGTAATCACGGTTTTTCAACCCGATGTCCATCGTCCTCATGTGTATATGTATGAAGCAAACAAAAACAAACTCGTGTAAGAAACGGAAACAGAGTAGTACCCCCGCCCGCCCGACTCTGTGTGACCTTGCTGGCCAACTCCCAGCCTCCCGTCGTTTGTCACTCACCGCCTCATTTGACGAGAACATTCTATTTCATCCTTCCCTCCGCTTCCACTTAAGTTGAGGACCTGGATCTTGATAGCAGTTCTGGCAATGTCTGCCACCATGTCAGTCCAGAGACTCACGCAAAGATGTCTCGACAAGTTTCAGAAGGCAATTGTCAGAAAAGGCAATACGCAGAATCAGCGTCTCTTGGGGGAAAGGCTCGCTGGCTTCAACCTGTGGGCAGATAACATCAGAGACATCACCAAGCCTGGTGCATCTCTGGACTCTGGCGTTCAATCTCGACCTGATGAGCTCAAGTTAGCGAAGAACATCTTGAAAATTCTTGATAGTTCCATAGACAGGCACGTGGACGCCGTCGATAAAGGTCTTCCCACAGAGGAAGCATTGGCGAGTATAGATTCCGCCATAGCAAACCTGGCGAAAATTGGGGTTGCGATACGCCGCGCGAGTAAAGAATCGAGAAACGCCGGGGAGCGGCAAGAGACAGACGAAACTTCCAATTCCGATACTGAAGACGAGTTTGCGAACAACAGCTACTTTGAAGACAAAAGATCAGCGGGTTCCTTGAGTCGTCAAAATGCTCGAGGAGGGTCTTCAATATTCAGATATATTCTTGCACAAGACAAAACGAACGATCCCGAACAAATTACAAGAGACTTGAACGCAGCCGTGTCACGAGGAGACGGGGATGCTGTTCGCTCTCTGGTCAAATCTTGCCGAAATTTCGATACTGATGGCAAAATAAGAAAAAGAGCATTCAGAGCTGCTGTTCAGAGGGGGCACATAGCTATTGTCGGGCAGCTCCTTGGGAATGGTGCCGATGTTGATTCGTGTGATGAACATGGCCAGACAGCACTATTCTTTGCCATTGAGCGAAATGACAAGGCCATGGTGCAATATCTTATTGAGTCTGGTATTGATGTACACATCAAAGACTACGAAGACCTGACCGCCCTACATATCGCCGTTCGGAAGGGTGATAAAAGGATCATCAGCACCCTCTTCACTACGAGTGTTTACCAAAGATTCACAGATGATCAGTTCCAAAAGGCGATTTCATGGGCTGAAAAGCAGGGGCATCTATCTGCCGCCAAACTGCTAAGATATGAGTCGATCCTAAGTCATGCGCAGCGCACTTTCGATATCAAAGATCGTACTGCAGCGTCAAAAAGCGTCATTCAAGGTAATGACTGGTATGCTCTTCTCGATCCTCTGTTGGTGCCTTTACATTTCGATCTTGTGGGCACTTTTCCGCATGATAAAAAGATTGGCAAGATCGCTTTCAGCCGTGACGGAAAGTATATTGCAACCAGTGACAAGAACAGAACTGTGCAGATATTCGACGTTAAAACGAGACGAAATGTGTTTCGAAGGGACTTGAAGCCGAGTAGAGGCGACCCACCTCCTGTTTGTTTCAGCTCTGATGGACGATATTTACTCTTCGGATCCCTTAAATACATAGAGGTAAGTAAGCCATCAGCCGAATCCCAAATCCAAACGCTAAGGCAAACATCAAAATTTAGGAATATGATATGGAAAGGGAGTCCACAGGATGCCACGGTTGTGATCCTTCCTTTATTGTCTCTGCACTTGATGTCTCAAAAGATGGCTGTTGCACAGCATCCGGCGGTAGCGATGGTACTGTTCGCGTTTGCCCAGAGGACGGAGAAAGTAGTACCTTTTCCACGAGAGCAGGATGTATATCCAGGGTTGAGATGTCTCCAGATTGTCGGTTCGTCGCTGCATGTGGCAATGATGGTTATGCCTATGTCTGGAACTTGAGGAATGATTGTTTAGAGGAAAAGTTTTTTCATGGAGAAGCCGCCAAGTCAGTGACCTTCTCTTCGGATGGCAGATATTTGGCTACTGCGGGAATCCCTGCCGTTAAATTGTGGGATCTGGATAATGGCACATGCGTCTTAACCCTTGGAGGTTCTGGGTGGTGTTTGGTTGAGGCAATGTCTATGACACCAGACGATAAGTGGATTATAACCGCCTCAAATGACGGGTCAATCCGATTTTGGCATCGGCAGACGGGGAAAAGTCACTGCATAGTCGAAGCCCACAAGGACCATATCAGAAGCGCAGCGATTAGTCTCCGAGGCGGTTATCTTGCAACAGCTTCTTGTGACAAGACGGTGCGCATATGGTCATACCGTCCGCGCAGGTAGACATGGAATGGAGGAGTACTGGGTGGTATTGATCTGTATAGTAGACATTTAGATGTTATGAAATTTACTCGTATGAGTAACGCGTGGAGTTTCTAAAGAGAATTGACAATTCCTTGAGTACGGCCACAGAGTTGTCAGAGCCTCTATAAGTGTATCAAGTCCCCGAAAACGATAGCTTCAGCTACATCTATGCCGAAGAAGTTCATGACGAAAAATGCTAGGTAATCAGACAGATGGTAAAGACATTCCCCCAAGTTATCATTCATTCAACCAAAAAGAACAGCTGCCAGTGGTATCTTCCAAAAAAAAAAAAGTAGGTATACACAAAAGATAATCAACACAAAAACCAATCCACCAACTAACACCAACCAACTCCACCCATCATTAAAAAAAACGCTATTTTCATATCACAATTGTCGTTCAAAACTCATAGAGAAACACCGAGTAGCTCTCTCCCTTAGATATCAGGCAGCGTCCGAGTCTCATCCTGCATTATCTCGTCGCCCCCCAGCTCCTTTTCCAGCTCGTCGGCCACGAAGCCCTCGTAGTCGTCCAAGCTCTTTTGCACGTGAATCTTGAACTTGATCACGTCGTTTAGCATGCGATCAATCTCCGTGTGTAGCTCCTCTCGCAGCGAGTTGGCCCGCAATACAAGCTGTTCGTATCTGGAGTTGGTAAAAGATGTTAGCCATTCTGATCTGCCCAAGACGGTGTGGCCGAATTCAAGTACGGTGAAGACTTACTCAATGGTAGTGTTGATCTCGCGTTGCTCTAGCAGCTGCACAGACTCTGTCAGACCGGCTCGCATTCTGGAGAGTTCCTTTTCCATCTTTTCGATTTGTGCGTCGGATCCCATCTTCTGCGCCGTGGCAACCTCTTTCGTCTTTTCATACTCCTCTTCTGCAGCCCTGACTCTGTGATTCAAGGCTTCAACCTCGTTCCGCTTGTCCTCAATGGCCTCCTTAATGCCATCCAAGAGCTCGTGGTCTTTCATCATGTCGTCCATTACAACGCTTCGTCGCTCTGCAATCTCCTTTCGCAAAGCTATGAAGCTGCTGCGGACTTGCCCCCTGAGATCTAGGTTAAGGACGTGTCCTGGTTGATAGCCGGTTGTGGCATCAACCAATGATCGGTCTGTCGCCGGGGTATGTGTTGTGCTGGAGCTCTTCCAGTTGGATGAATTCAGCTCGTTCTCGTTGAGGGTAACCTGCAGCTCGTAGTCCCTGCCCTTAGCATTGGCCGCGGTAGCTGGTATGAGGGCTATTTGGTAGGCAATGGTGTTGTACTTGTCCACCACGCGTTCCAGCTCATCAAGTTTTCGGCTGGCCTCGGCTTCCTTTTCCATGACCTTTTTCTTAATCTCTTCCAAGCGTTGGCCGGCCGACTCGATACCCCTTTGCAGGCGTTCCCGTTCAGAAGTCATGCGGTCAATATCCTGCATGCTAATGCCTTGGGCGTCAACAGCTCTTTGGAGTCCTCTTCGTTCCTCGTCGGCTTCTTTCAGCTCTTCTACAACCTTGTTTAGCTCCTCTTGTAAAACTTGGATGCGGGCTTCGTATTTTTCCGATCGCTGAACGGCGAGCTCATTGTAGTCTTCAAACTTGACGCGGTCCTCTTCCATGATTTTGAAATGGTTATCCAAGACGGCAGGGTCCGGGGTGGACTTTTCAAGATCCTCGATTTCCTTGGACAGCCTCTCATTCTCGGCCTCGAGCATCTCAAGCTCGGCCGTGTACTTTGAGTTGGACTCCTCAAACGCCCTTGCCATGGCCTCAACGTGGGGGGCTAGTAGTCGCTCGGCATCCTCGTCGCCCATGTCGTCGTCCATGGCGAGCCAGTCTCTGTATGCACTACTAAGGAAGTTGAAGATGATCTGGTCGCCACTTACATCGACACCGACGTCGAGGCAAGCATCTATGTACCGATTGCCGGCATAGCCCTCGAGCATTTGAGCCAGTTGCATCATCCAATGGAGCAGGCCGAGAAAAGTACTCCAGTTCTGGCCACCCACGGCCGCAATCTGGCTTTTTGTGATGCTGCGCTCAAACGGGTATCGAAGCTGCTTAAGAATGGGCGGCACCTCTTGGTCGATATTCTTCTGGAATTTGTGGCTGGGGTCGATCCGATGGTAGAGCCACTGGAACATGAAGTTGAAGTCTTTCTGGGTCGGCGACTTGAGAATGTTTTGTGACAACGAATGCTTCATTTCCATCTCAAAGTTGTTTTGCACCATGTAGTCCATCAGCTCTTGGGCGATTCGGGCTTGGAAGGATCGGTCCCTCAGCGGCCGCGGATCGCGAGGGACGCCGGCTGCCTGGGGCGTGGTCTGGAAAAAGCTCTGGTGGCTCACGGGGCCGACTGTGGATTGCCGCGGACGATACACGCTGCTCCGTCTATCGCTGTCCGTTGACGGCCTCGCAGCCAACGGAGTAAAGGCGCCCGGGTTGTATGTTGCTCTGGCCTGCTGAAACGACGTTCGCTTGATAGAGGACAGGCCAATATCGCCCAGGTTTGTGCCGGACGATGCGCGTTGGAACATGGGCTGGTTCGGGCGCGTCACAGCCAGGGAGTGCCTAGATCCCGACATGGAGCGGCCGTGGGCGGTGCCGAAGCTGGAGGGTCCCTGATTCTGGCGCTTCATTGTCGACCCTGGCGCCGGGATGCCGCTGTTTGTACTGAGGCCGCCGAGCGTCTACGGCGTCGGTCAGCGGACGATGCGACGATGATGCAGATTTCCCACTCTTGCGACAAAGGGAACCTACCTCTCTTTTCCGGCGGACGCTCCACAGGCCCGTGTCTTGAGACATTACAGGCGGTTGGCCCTCTGCTGTTGGTGATGCGGCGGTATTTGAGCAGCTGAGAGGCGATCCGCAGTGCGTTTAGCAGTCGATTTCGGGGGCACAAGACGCAAGATCGATAATTCGACAAGGCGGGCGGCGTATCTTGAAGCTTTGAAGCAGTTCTTTCGTGGGGCCACGGGATTGGGGGGGGGGGGAAAGATAAGGCAGTTGCTCGGTGAGAAAGTAAACAAATGCCTGATTGGCCCAGTGCGGCCTAGCGCGAATGACTTGACACGCATGCGCACGTGATTGCAGAGTGTCGGGGGAGTACATGCAAATGGGGCCAATTTACTGCGCGCAGCCCGGTAGCCAATAACATAACAACGTACGAGTACTCCGTACCTGGTACCCAGCACGTACCGTTGCCTCGGCCCAGCATGTTTTCGGTACGTCCCTCTACTGTAGTTAGAGGAGGTAGTACTTTGCGGCCGCGCTCAGCTCAGCCCAGCCCAGCCATGCCCGGTTCCACAATTACCGAGCTTCAACATCCTCGTAACAGTCGCATCTTCTTTCTTCGTTTCTCCTTCGTTCTCCATTGTCGACGTCCATCGCGATCCCCCTGAAGCTGCGTCTTTTCTGTCGTCTCTGGTGATTGATTCTACGAGGCGCCGAGGCTCTGAGTGAGCATCCCGATCCATCATCATGGCGATACGCGAGGAAATCGTGGCGTCTGCAGTAAGTGATGCGTTCCATCTCCTTGTCCTTGTGATTGCCAATCATGGGCTCGTCTCTTGGCTGACTGTCGAATTCCCAGGCGCAATGTTAGTTTCGACTCGACTCGACTTCTCGATCACGTCCACTTCTGCTTCCACCATGTTAACAATGTAGCAGTTCTGCAAGATCCCAGCGTTTCCACCTCGTCCGTCGAGAACAAAATCTCGTTTCTTCGAACCAAGAATCTGACACAGGAGGAGATTGATGCCGCCATTGCCAGGGCTGGGGGCGGCAGCGGCGCGGTGGCTCCTAGGGCTCCCTATGCCGGCGCGCCCCAGGGCCCTCCTCAGGGTCCCCCTCAGCAGTATTACCAATCCTACCCCCAGTATGCGTGGCAGCCGCCTGCGTCAACACAACGGGATTGGAGAGACTGGTTCATCATGGCAACCGTGGTTGGAGGAGTCAGCTATGGCCTGTACTCATTGGGCAAGGTAAACAGAATCCTACGCGCGTCCTTCACCGCAGCGAAACTGACACGATTCATAGCGCTATGTATACCCCCTCGTAGCGCCGCCTACCCCTGAAAAGCTGGAGCAGGACAAGAAGTCGATCGAGGAGCAGTTTGACAAGGCCTTTGCCCTGGTTGAGCAGCTGTCCAAGGACACAGAGGCACTCAAGGATGCCGAGAAGCAGCGCACAGAACGACTGGACATTACACTGGCCGACCTGGACACGATCATGACGGAGCTGAAATCAGCAAACAAGCGCCGGGAAGACGACGCGCAGCGCATTCGCGACGAAGTACAGAGCCTCAAGGACGCCATCCCCAGGGCCATGAACAACCAAAAGGAGCTCACCGACAACCGACTTGCCGAAATCAACACTGAACTTGCCAGCCTCAAGACTCTTGTGTCACAGAGGATGAATGCCAACTCCAATAACTCGGTCTCGAGCGGCTACTTCCGAGGCAACAATGGGGTCAACGGTGTCAACGGATCGAATGGCGTCAACGGAACCAGCGGGACGGCTTCACCCACGGCAGCACCCGGCCAATCAGTGACTCCCCCAGCCGTCGACAGCGCTGCGGAGGCGAGCGGCACTCCCAAGCCTGACGCTGGCAAGGGCCCGGCTCAGAACAGGTTCAACAGAGCGTCTGGCCTGTCCGTTGGCTCCGGGGCCAAGGCGTCAATCCCGGCCTGGCAGATGGCCATGGCTAACCAGAATGCCGGATCAGCAGGCTCCGCGTCGGGCAAGGAGCCGGAAAAGGCCACCACCGAGGCCGCGGCCGGCAGCTCGTAGATGATTAATTGCTTGCTTGAGATTTGCCATGCATTGTACGATTTTGATCAAGTTGCGGTTATTGTTGCGCCACGTACGTACGGATAAAGGGGCCATGCAGACATTGATTTGATAACGGCCGGAGCGTTGATTGCTCTATCAAAGTTTTTTATGTACCTATTTAATATCAAATGGACCACATGTATTGTTTTCGTCTATTTCCGGGTTGGATTACATGTTGTTGTTATTATTATCACTATTAGAAAAAGAAGAAGAAGAAGAAGAAGCTACCTACATATATCATTACTGCATCACGGTGGTTGTATTAAACTGAGTGAGACGGAGATGGAAGAGGCGGGCCGAGGTTCGGGCTGACTGCCTCTCCCGCCTACGCTCACTAATGCAGCGCTAACTGAAGCCGTCCGTTTCCCATCCCTGTTCCCAGATCGATCTGTCTGTTAAGTACTTGTGCTTGCGGGATGCTGTACTTGTATTCGAGCAGCCGGATTCAATCCAATGCTACCTCTCGCAAGCATTGCCCAGATACAGCAGACTAACTGGACTGGACTGATATGGAGGGTTGGTTCTGTCCAATGTACAAGCATCTCTTGAATAGCCGCCACCAACGCGGCGAAATCATTTCAACCGTGCGGATTTCGTCTCAACTACCTAAATGGAGCCAACCAATGGCTGCTGTAGCCACGTGCCGGTCCATTTCCCCGAGTTATGCGAGCCGTGCGTTTCGATTGTTGATGGCAGAAATCGATTACGTGCTGGACTTTGGATAAATAGGTAGCCAATCGCCCGATTTTCCCCATGGAGACACCTACCTCGCTCATTCACTCATTCACTCATTCACTCACTCACTCACTCACTCACTCAATATAATTGTCCCCTATACATACCTATGCAACAAGATACATGTAGAGTCTTCTTCCCTATCAAACCTCAGACTTGGCTACTTACCACCTAAGCCTCTTACATCCCATTCTCCCTCTTCTCTTCTTCCTACGATTTTTCTTATTCCTCCTCTGCACAATGAATGATCCTCCTCCTCAAATTTCGGCTCGCCCAGCGCCCACCATGACCGCCAAACTCACATCCAACCTCAGAATGCTCTTCATCTTGCTCTCCAAAGTCCCTCTCTTAACCCGAGTAGCCATATTGCACGTCCTCAAGCTCTCGGAACCATCCAAATACGTCGATCTGCAGTCCAACCTGGTGGTTTCACTGATGCGCTCCGTCTTGACACCCGCCAATCCACACTCAATCTCCTACAGTCAAAAACTCACTACGCGCAACGAGGAGATCAAGGGAAGGATATGGATCAGCTTATACGCTTCGCCGCCGCCTCCCGAGACCGACATCAGGGACTCGCTGCTCAACGTCATGGACAGCATGAGAGATGAAGGCGTCGGTGGAAGCAGCGCGAGAGTTCCCGAGCTCGTACCCGTAGAAGCAGAATGGACGGGATACAGAGCCGCAGCTTCAAAGAGAGATCCTCTGCCGAACATTTCAGAGTCCGCCAAATATCACCGACTCATGAAAGAGTGCAAAGAGCCCACCACGGTGCTCTACTTCCACGGCGGCGCATACTACCTCTGCGATCCCGCCACACATCGTCCTCTGGTCAAGAAGCTGGCCAAGCTGATACAGGGAAGATGCTACTCGGTGCGATATCGACTGGCGCCGCAGGATCCGTTCCCGAGCGCGCTGCTGGACGCCCTCGTCTCATACTTTACGTTGCTGTATCCGCCTCCGGACGCCTATCACGACGCTGTGGAACCGGAGCATATCGTTATTGCGGGAGACAGGTATGTTGAAGCTTCTGGATTTGGCAAAGAATTGATGCTGTGCAACATTCCACGTTCCAGACTATCATCTACCATTGACATGTGGCTGACCCGATTGTCTCTCATTTGGTGATACAGCGCCGGTGGAAACCTAGCCCTCGCGCTATTGCAGCTCATTCTTCAGCTGCACCATCGAGATATTGACATCCAGTGGTACGGCGAGAAGCGAAAGGTTCCTCTGCCGGCTGGTGTTTCGTGCATCTCTCCTTGGATCGACATCACGCAGAGCTCGCCGCCGTGGCACGTCGAGGACGCTCATCCGTTCGACTACTTGCCCAGACTGAGGCCTGATTTCGAAGCCAGAGTCCCTCCATGCGAGATATGGCCGGCGAATCCTCCACGGAAGTTCATCTACGCTGATGATGATTTGGTTGCGCATCCGCTGTCGACGCTCTTCATGAGTCGTTCTTGGGAAGGGTCACCGCCTGTATGGATGAGCACTGGCTGGGAGATACTTTCTTACGAGAACAAGGCTTTTGCGATGAAGCTCTTTGCTGATGGCGTTCCGTTGGTGTTTGAGGAGTATCAGGCCATGCCGCATGTTTTCCCCATGTGCTTGGCTCGAGCGCCGAGTTCACGGCGTTGCCTTGAGAGCTGGGCCGATTTTATTCGCTGCGCGATAGAGAACCCAGGGGCGATTGAGGCGAGTGCGACGAGCATTGCGGCTCAGACGCTTGAAGAGACGTCTCTGAGATTTGATGATTTACTAGAGGATAGATTGGAAGACATACAGGCTGCTGTGGTGAGAAGGGCGGGTGTTGGGGTTGAGAAGGCAGATGTCGCTGCAAGGCTATGACGCGTTCGACATGTAAAAGATGGGCAGGACTCATTATCAAGACATGCGAAACGATAGATTGTTATATATTGTGTATTAGACATATTTAATCATTTATTTTTAATGTTGATGCCCATTGGCTGTGTCACAGCCGAAGCCGAATACATGCCCAACCTCATGAATGCTTCATCTCTTTTCGGATAGACCTCCTGATGCATGTGCTAATGGTTTATACGCAGTAGAACAAATATTACCTCTATAAGCTCATACGGTAAGGTCATCAGTAGGACAACTAACCTATCTCACAACGGTCTAAACCTAACTTACGTTCCCTATTCAATCCATTATACATATATAACACCAATAATATAGGTAGGGATAACTAATATACCAGGCTCGCCTAAGCATTTCCGCGTTAAGCTCTAACGCCCCCCATAAGATCCAGACTGCAGGTCCTTCGCAAATGGGCATAGTTTCCCGCGGGTCTGGCACGCCCCTTAAGCAATCTTAATACACTTACAGCAATTAAGACTACCCACACCTTTCCATGCTCTACAAGGGCCGTTATAAAATCACTTTTACACGGCTCCCCTCGGGATTAGCATAGGTATTAATACTATACTACAGCATAAGTAATAAAGCCCTTAGCTTTCTCTAAACTAGGTTATATTATTATATAGTACCTATAGCTAGTTAGCTATATTAACTAGTTGGCATAATCCTAAGCCCTTAACTCTCTCAGAACTTAACTATCCCTACTAATAGGTTATATATATATTATTTAGTAGGTAAATTATCTAACGCTTACTAAATTCTGCTTTAGTATAATAGGAAAAGCTAATATCCAAGGATCAAAAAGCAACGTCGCTATTAACGCTTAGCCGCCACAAGCCAGTTATCCCTGTGATGCTTAGAGCTTCCCTGGCACCTCTAGCTGCGATGTCGAGGGACTAAAGGATTAATAGGCCACACATTCATGGTTTATAATTACACGGAAAACTAAAATCAAAAAGACACTTGCTCTCTAATCATTTCTAGTCTTAAAAGTAAATACAACACGCTAGATACACAACTAAATACTCTTGTGTAGAGCTTCCCATGTAGAGCTCCAGCTATCAACCAAACACGGAGCTTTATCGGCCCCCGCCAAGCAACCCCATTGGTTCAATATTATCGTCGCACCTCCAACGCAACACCATGGAAATTCATCCTCTTCCATCTCCATCTCCATCTCCCACCTCCCGACCAAGCCAATTGGGCGTCCCCCACCATGGAGCGCCACAAGCAGGCCGTCACCAAAATCGCCGCCGCCGTCCGCGGCTACTTCGAGCGCGGCGAGTCGTACCGCATCTTCCACGGCTCGACAAACAGCACGCGGCCTCGTCCCGGCCCCGGCCACCGAGCCGTCGACATCAGCGCCCTCAGCAACGTCCTGGCCGTGGATCGCGGCGCGCGGACCGCCCTCGTCGAGCCCAACGTGCCCATGGACCGCCTGGTCGAGGCGACGCTGCGCCATGGCCTGGTGCCGCCCGTGGTGATGGAGTTTCCCGGCATCACGGCTGGGGGCGGCTTTGCGGGCACGGCGGGCGAGAGCAGCTCGTTCCGCCACGGCTTCTTCGACGAGACGATCAACTATGTCGAGATGGTGCTGGGCAACGGCGAAGTCGTGCAGGCGTCACCTCATGAGCGGGCTGATCTGTTTCGTGGCGCTGCGGGAGCCGTGGGCACGCTGGGCGTTACGACACTGATGGAGCTCAACTTGATCGAGGCTCGCAAGTTTGTACAAACTACATACCACCGCACAAACAGCGTGGCCGAGGCCGCAGAGCGTGTCCGCGCCGAGACGCAAAACCCCAGCAACGACTACGTCGACGGCATCCTCTTCTCCAAGGACCACGGCGTCGTCATCACCGGCCGCCTAACCGACGACAAGCCCGCCGGCCACAAGACGCAAACCTTTAGCCACGCCTCCGACCCCTGGTTCTACCTGCACGCCCAGGACCGCACCAAGAACGCCGACGCCGTCACCGACTACATCCCGCTCGCCGAGTACCTCTTCCGCTACGACCGCGCCGGGTTCTGGGTCGGCGCCCAGGGCTTCACCTACTTCAGGTACGTGCCCTTCACCGGCTTCTGGCGCTGGTTCCTCGACGACTTCATGCACACCCGCATGCTCTACCGCGCGCTGCACGCCAGCGGCGAGTCCGCCCGCTTCGTCGTCCAGGACCTCGCCATCCCCTACGACAAGGCCGCCGAGTTCGTCGACTACACCACCGACGAGTTCGGCATCTGGCCCCTCTGGCTGTGTCCCCTCAAGGAGACGCCCGGCCCGACCTTCCACCCGACCTGCGAGACGGAAACCGTCGCAGCTACCGACGGCAGCGCTGCCACAAAGGTCGTTCCCAAGCCCATGCTCAACATTGGCGTCTGGGGCTGGGGCCCCGAGAACCACGACGAGTTCATCGCCAAGAACCGCGCCCTCGAGGACAAGCTCGTCCAGCTGGGCGGCCGCAAGTGGCTGTACGCGCACACGTACTACTCGGAGCCCGAGTTCTGGCAGGTCTACGACAAGCCGTGGTACCAGGCGCTGCGCGAAAAGTACAGCGCGACGACGCTGCCCTCGGTGTATGACAAGGTGCGTATCGACGTCGAGGCCAGTAGGAGGGAGCGCCAGATGTGGAAGAAGTCGCTCAAGAGCAGGTGGCCTGTGGGCGGGCTGTACGGGATCTGGAGGAGTATCTTGACGGGGGATTATCATTGGCATAGAAATGCCGAGTGGAAACACAAGGGCGAGGAGTAAGAAACAAAAAGGTATTCTACGCTAAAACATTGTAGAAATAATAGGGGAAACGTGATTATGAATAGACATGTTTAGATAAAAAGAAAATGGCTGGCTCACTTACACAGAAACATCGTGGCAGCCAAAATGGACAGAGTAAGGATCAATAAAAATGAATGGATACCCTCAGCAAAGAGAAAACAGTTTCATATCTGGCGCATCATGTCTATTTTCTTTAAAGGCATAGCCCGTTATAAAAAAAAACGTGGCTCATCTCTAAATATCACCAAATATCTACACCAATCATGCCCACGCATATCAGGCATCGTCGCCTCATCCTCTTTTTTTCACCCCTCACTCATTATAGCCCAACGGGCGGGGGCGGGGGGGGGGGGGGGGGGGGGGGGGG